TATCTATTCTGAAAAAAAGAGAAAAAGTATTTCTAATTTAATAAAATATCAAAACTAAATAATTAAGTGAAAAACTTGATTTCAGAAAATTGGGACCATATAAAATCATGAAGTGGATTGGAAAAGTCAACTACAAACTCCAGCTACTCAAGAAGATATGAGTACATCCAGTATTTCATATCTCATTATTAGAAAAAGCACTGCTACACACCAAAGAAATGCCTATGAAGATTGATGAAGAACAAGAATATAAAGTTGAACAGATACTAGATGAAAGAAAATCTGAGAAAGAAAAGTTATTTAATAAAGCAAGCAAGTTTTGAATCTTTATCTGCTCAGCTACTCTTTTTTGTTTCTTCTTCTTAAGATGTTTCAGATCTTTTATAAACTTTAATTCAGACTCAAGAAATTTACTGGCTTGATTATAAAGTAACTTTTTCTGCTTTTGAAGATAAAGAAGATAAGAAAGAATTTCTTACTTAATATGCTCAAGCTTATTCTGAGTCTTGAACAGCTTCTGCTAATTAGTAGTAGAAGAACTATTATTGTGAATAAAATAATAATCAGTATAAATATACTTGCTATACTGAGAAGAATAACTTGACTTTAGACAAGTCTTACTCAGTAAAGAATACTGAGAGCAGGAAGAAAGTATAATAAATCTGGATTACTTAATGACAAAAAGAAGATTATTCTTGCAAATATTAGAAGCAGATGGTATAATGAAAAGAGAATCATCAAGACACTCACTAAGAACAAGAAAATAAGAAAAAAATCTGAAAGCCTGAAAAAGAATAAAAGAACACTCTTTTATATCTTAGAAACAAGAAGTAGAATGGTTGAAGATAACATGCTGTAAAAGAAGAGAATGATGTTATGAATCTTGTAGCATAGCAGTCAGAGACACAGAATAATTGAATGAGATCTGACAAGACAGAGTTACAGATTATTAAGAAGAAACCTTAGAATAAGAAGTCATATAATCAGTAATAAAACTGATAAGCTGACTGATTGCACTAAGCATAATAGAACTGATTGAAGAATATAGCAAGTGTACTATAATAAAATGAATAGAATAGCTTAGCAAGATTATCACTAGAGAGCATCATGTATATAAGAATACTTATTACCAGAGATCTGATAAACTTGTTCATTATAATTAACTTTTCTTACTATCTTACAGATATCTTTGAATCAGATACTTTTATATCTTGATTACTTTTTATATCATTAAAGTCTTGTGATACTGTATAATTATACCTGATCTTACTACTTTTGAGAAGGCATGATAGTCTTGCCCTAACTCTGATATATCTGTACAGAAACTCTTTGTCATCAGAGCAAAACTGCTCACTTAACTAGAGCACTATTAAATTATTGATTACTATCTCCAATCTGTTGTTGCTTTTTGAGCTCTTTGATACTCTTCAAACTTCAAAGAATCTAGGGAGGTTCCTAGTCACACACAATATGTATAAAGAGTTTACAGCAAGTTCTTATCTATATAAGAGATTTGCAAGTGAATTCTTATTCATGTAAGAGATTTGCAGGCAGATTCTTACAGATGGAAAGCATCAGCTCTTTTTATATTTAAAAAGATATAGTTAACTATTTATCAATTAAAGCTTGGTCAAGCATATTTCAGATCTTATTTAATAAGATTATCTGACTACTTTTTCAACTTATACTATTTCTGCAATTGTATTGAAAATTCAAAGCATCTACTATTAGACTGCTTAGCTTATTAAACTGAAAGAAGAAAAATTCAATAAAAACTTAATATTTTCCAACTATCTTTAAATTTTATTTTTGAAACTGAATTAGGTCTAAAATAACTAGTTTTATTTCTGAAATGTACTAGAATAACTACTAAACAGTAGTTTTCTCAAATATATTAACTTTATTTCTTTAATTTGTATTATACTTTTACAAGAATTTTGTTTTTCTTTGAAATTCATTTTATATACTATCTGTTATTTGATCTTTGTGAAGAAAGAACATCTCATATTGCCTTAAAATACTTTGATTTTTCTCTTTTTTCAGTTTCTACAATGTACACTAAATAAATTTTAACAGATAAGCTGCTAGGTAGTCTTTATAGTTACTAACTGCATAAGACTATAATGAATAATAATAATAATAATAATCTTGTGGAGCTCTACACAAAATCAAGACTGCAAAGAAAGTTTGGCTGCAAGTCTAAAATAAGCTTTTACAAGAGAAGATTCAACAGTAGATTAAGCAAATTCCACATCACATTCAAGAGATTATATGGCTTGAGAGAGGGAATGAGTATAGAAGAAGTAATTATAAAAGTTTTCAAGAGTATAAAGATCAGCATTTAAAGAGAAAGATCTCAAAACAGCAGAATATAGAAAGAGATTGCTTAACTAGTAAATAAGAAGCTGCAGAGACTCTAGCAGCTTTACATCTTGAAGATATGAATACTTGAGAGGATGTATGGAGGTGTGTGTAAGGATTCGCCGCGAACCCCTTACACGGACAAACAGCACCTGTGAAGGCCAGAGGCCTCAGCTTGCAAGCTGCTGGGAGTTGCATGTGTCCTTGTGAGGCACTAAGTCACATGCTTGCGAGCACACATAAAAGGCCATCACTGTGCAAACCCCTTGCTGGGAGCCAGTGGCAATCTTGTTTACAAGTCATACATAGTTGCCAGAATACAGACCTTTTACCTCACATACTCTTTTCCATGTATATTCCTCTTAGAGATTCATTGTCACGCTGATCCACACGTACGATCCTCACAGTGTGGAACAAAAGTTTCTGGAAACTCTATTTTGTTACAATGTATTGCAGTTACCTGCTGCCCTATCAAAATTTAGTGGGGTAGTAGGTATCTTCTATTATTCAACAAACAGCCTGGCTTCTATCTTTTTTCAAATCTCTTCAAATTCAGAACATCAAATCTGCCCACCATGCCTTCCAGAGAAATCTCTGTTCATAATAAGCTTGTTACACAAATTCAAGCTCTTGCTTTGATTTCTTATAGAATTTCTATCTTAGATGTTTCTTATACTCTCCAGATTTCTTCTTCTACTCTCTATAATATTCAAAAGCAAGCAAAAGGCCATGGCTTTGATTTCAAGAATAATTCTCAAATTTCTCTCAGTTATATGGAAGATGCTTCTAGACCAGACCAGCTAAAGAAAATAAGTATTAAAAAAGCTGGAATCATTATCTTTGTAACTAAGAGTTACTTAGAAAGAGAGAAATCTACTGAGATTCTAATATTTAAAGCTGATATATCTCATTTAAGTATTTTGCAAATTCTTAAGAAACATAACTTTATTATTATCAAACTAACTTGAAAATCAGATCTAACTAAATCTGCAAGAAAAAAAAAACTCAGATTCTATCTTGTCTATAAGAACTAAATTTTAGAGAACTGAAAAAATGTTATCTGAACTGATAAAACTTCTATAGTTCTTAAGTATAGAAGAAAAGCAGTTTATATATAGAGAAGATTTTCAAAAGCTTATGATTCTATCTGTATACATTAATAATAAAAGAAGTTCTTAGACTTTATATTTTGGAGCTACTTTATATACAAGAAGAAGAAACTCTGTTATATTTAGAAATTAAAGACTGCAGCAGCCAAACATTAAGCTTAAAAAAAATTAAATATCTTGAATATTGACTGTAAGACAAAGACAAGAGAGAAATAAGAGCTTATTAATAGAATTCATCATCTATAAATTCACTCAAATTATAGAAGAAAGCTAACTTTCAAATTTACTGTAAAAACTGGCAAGCTTGTTCAATAAGATAAGAGAGAAGTTAATTAATATAGATATCAGAAGATGTTAAGATTTTATTATCTTACTATTAAATTCTCTAGCTAATCTGATACTTTTTTCATTTCAGAAGATTCTTCTTGTCAAATTATTTTCTTTTATTAAGAAATGTCTTGAATTTCAACTCAATACTGTTGTTCTAGAAGATAGAGCTCCAGCATATATTTATTTTTATTAACAAAAGCTTTATAATATACACAAGATTAACTGCTTACTTTAATCTGACAATTCATCAGATTTGAATATAATTGAGTCTGCCTGAATGTAGCTTAAGTAATGTACAACTGCTAAAAATACTCTACAAGAATCTAAGACTGCTGAATATAAATAAAAAAAAGTCTGAAAAGAGCTGCTATAAGTAAAGATTTAATAGTAAATTAAGTAGATTTCACATCATATTCAAGAGATTATATACTTGAAAAAGGATAATGAGTATAGAGAGAGTGATTATAAGATATCTCATATATGAAAGAGTCAACAGCTTAAGAGAAAGCTCTCTTAATAACAGAATCTTAAAGCAGATTCTTGGGCAGCTGGTCTAAAGACTTTGAAAGCTGCTGAAGCTCTAGCTGCTCTATATAATTTGGGTAGAGAGGATTCTTGAGAGAATTTGGAACAGGATTCAGATGAGAGTAACTAGTCAATTTCAGGGGTACTTTGAGTTTCCTAGCAAATTTGGTGGGGTAGTAGGTATTTGTAAAACAGTATTGTCTGTATAAGCTTTCCGGGAACTTTTGTTCCACACCTCCGTACAAGAGGAGGAATGAATCCATAATCAAAGGTACAGGCTGATCCATACTAATTTGGTGGGGTTCAATGTATTTCTGGTACTAGCCTAATTACTAGCGCGGCAAAGACTTCTGGGACGCACCTCTGTAGTTTGTGAATGAATAAGATCTGTATTTGATTGTTGTGGTGGTAGGGGATCAGCAGATTTGAAGGTGAAAACGTGTTTTTGAAAATCAACATGAAAACCAGGTATGAACATGTTTTGCTTAACCAATAGATTCCATATATTTTAGTGTGTGAACCTATTGGTCAGAAAAACGCCATTAATACTTGTAGTTTGTAATCTGGTGCCAAGGCGCTAATTTTGCCTGGCGACCGGACGAGGGGATAGTTCAGGAGATCCGACGGTCTCCGTCGAATATCATCATCTTGCCACTCATTACAGCATGCAGGGAGGTGGCTCTATGCTTGAAGTCTCAATGTTGGGAGGAATTTCATACCATGATAGAATGGAATCCTCCTCACCAAACTAAGGCTAGCTGAAAGTAAAGTCTTGATATTTTACCACTTACCTCCCCAGGGACGGACGAGGGGATAGTCTGTATGTTGGGTCCGACCACTCAGAGCGTCCTTCTTCAACGCTATTTTAAGCCCATACGTCCGTGACCGTCACCATGCCGTCCATCACCATTTGTGGGAAGTCTAGGGATCGCATTGGCAGAGGCCGTCAGGCCACCCTGGCTCATTTGACATGAGAAACTCGAGTAGGCAGTACGAACTGTATCCCATTACTGCACTTGTTTCATCGACATGATGGCCTCTCATTCAGCTCCCTCAAACGTGCCCTTATCCGATATCGACAACCAGTACTGGAATGAGCGTTCGGAGAGGCGGACAGCAGCTCTACATCAACTGAAGGCGGTTCTCAAAGAAAAGTTATGCAGAGAGCAGGTGCCACCTCCATTTTGGGCCTTCTGTCAAGTCGCGGACGTATCCAAACTGGAAGAGATGGTCCTTATTGTGCAGCAGGCCCCAAATGCCAAAATAGCACAACTTTGCCTGGAACCGACAATTAAGGATTGTGATTCGGCGATAGCCCGATGTGAGTTTGCGCATCATTGTCCTCATGGAGAAGTTCTTTTCTGAGCTGAATTTTCATTAGGGCTGCAAAACTTAAGTGCGAGGAATACTACAACCTCCGGTACAGATCGTTCAACAACAGCGAGCCGTAATGTTTGTCAATTTTCACAAAGCTAGGGTGGGCTTTGCTAACGGGTCTTCAACAGTGCAAAGAAAGAGATCAGAGCAAGTGCGTGCTTACTGGATGGGAGGAACCGGATACTGCGCATATTTATACGCATAGCCTTATAAAAGCATCTGGGCGTGAACCAAGAGCAGTCGGGAGATTCTGGGATATCCTTGGTTTGTTTTGGGAGGAGGAACGTGTCGAACAGTGGAAAAAGGAGATATTCAGTGACCCACGGGACTTGAAGGCACCAAAGGATGGTTGCTTTAACATGATCAGCCTTGATAAGCATCCACACGCTCTCTGGGGAGCTGGTCGTTTCGCCCTGCGACCTAAAGAGCTCTCTGCAGATCTCAAAGAACTAAAAGTTGAATTCCATTGGCAGCCGAAGCCCTCGCATGAGACAGAAGAAATTGATCTTCTTACAGAGCCAGCAACGTCCCGGGGTTTGTACAAGTATGGGGGACGTGGTTTGCCAGTCCCTACAGGTACTTATAAGGAAGATGGTGAGCCGGAATACAGGCCTATTGCTTCAGGGGATATTTTTTTCTCTGACTACAGATGACCCTGACAAACTACCACTACCAAGCTGGCCCCTCCTTGAAATGCAGTGGCATTTACAGAGGATTGCAGGGATGAGTGGGGCCGCCGAAGCAAGCGGGGACTTGGACCACAATGATGATGATGACGATGGAAAAGAGATGCCCACATATGATCGTGACGCCAATGTACGGAGCGTTAGAGCCATCTTTGAGTGGTTACGGCTTTTACCGGAAAATGAGCAATCTACACCCCCGCCCATGTCTGTCAATCCCCGTGTAGGAGCTCGTTTCGCTCCCGCTTAGTGACCAAGAGAGAGAAGGCCAAGCGGGTGCTGGTCGGAGGTTATGGCTCATTAGAGGTAGCAGATGGAGGAGAGCGAATTTCGAGAGAAGGTTGCGTCAATGGACACAGGAAGGAATCCCTCCAGGTACTTAAAAACAAAAATTCATCCATATAGTCGATGTCTTCAGCCCCCAACCATATGCTCGTCCAGTCAGGTTTAGTCCAGGCTGGATGACAGCATTTCTGCTGGTCCAACATATTGGTTGCTTCCATTGCAATTGTCCAATCTCCTTCATTTCGCATGCCGCATACCTTCCCATAGTGTTTGGTCAGCGTCTCCATTAGGACGTGCGAAATTCAGCCGCTTGTAATGACCTGAGCGTTGCAAAGCAGTACCCAGCTCTCAGTGCGTGAGTCGAACACTTCCTGGCAACAAATGTGGTATCAAGCTGCCCTATTGTGCCATTGGGCCAGGGAGCTCAGGCAACCCTCCTTTTCCCCCGACACGGTATACTGGTGGAGTTTACATGGTATTTGGCAATTGGCTAGCGCAAGAAGTGCGCGAGGCTGTGGGCAGGGAGGCATCCCTGGGGCAAAAAAGTTGGCTTGGTCTTCATGAGTCGACAGCAATCGGCGCAATATCACAACAATTGGGAAAAGTATGCAAGGCTCTCACCAAAATTCCTCTTTAGGAAATTATGCATGTCAACATAATCTTTCTGCACCGCTGCCTGAGTTTGATCTTAGCACATTTCATTAGGATACGTTAACCACAACAAGGAGGGAGCGACAACTCTCAGAACCAATCAGCTGGCAAGGAGAATACAGGATGAGCATTGATTCATCACGGGCGTATCGGATCCATTACCCTGCCTTGAAATCACTTGAGTCTCTCGTATGCAAGACTTCAAGACAGCCAATGGAAGCTCGCCCTTCTTGGTGCGAGTGATGAGAGACATATTCATTCCTTTGTTTGCCTGCTTGGGCTACCTATCTGCATGGAAGGGATCAACTCAGTCAAGCTGACCTGTTAGTTTTGCGGCACAGCTTCTGATTGCACGATTTCCTTGCGAAGCATCGTTTTAAAACACTGGCTGAACCACAAGGCGACTCGCATATTGACCGAGCCAACATTTTTTCGTACAGGGGAGGGAAGGCTGCAGCGCTGACAATGCCTTGTGGATATTTAAATCGACTTTTCTGCTGTCTCATCAGAGATAGAACTTAAACTTTCTCTTTACAGATAGATATCTCACTCCCTTCTGGATCTTTGACTACCTGTAATTCTCAACATACTCTCCTTATCTCCACTCGGCACCAGAATGTCGGGAATCGTGCTTCGCTCAATCTACTATGTGGCGCTGAAGCGACACATCCCCATCGAGCTAGCCACTCAACGTAGGGATTACAACGGACTCCTGTTGTGAAATCTGTAATGTCTAGCGGAAGCAAGGGCATCAAGCATCAAAGGTACCACTATATTGGACACGGAATGTAGGTACGAATATCGTTATATTGGCATTGGCTCTTATGCTTGCTCATTCATCCCTCTCTCTCTTTGATGAAAGTCGGCAAGATAGGTACGGAGTACACATAGTTATAAGAGGAATGCCAAGAAACTAAAGTACCGCTCCACATCTCTGATATCGCAACTCCCTGATTGCATTGATGAGAATCTCAAGAAGATTGCCGCTGACCTTACGGAGCGTGCATTCAATAAACTCTCGCCGGGGTATCAGGCAAACATCCAAAAGATAATTATCACGTACGGATCAAACCCACCTTTGAGGAGCGCCCATAGCCTTGCAACAGGGAGAAGAAGTGAGGAAGCACCCAGAAGGCGGGCAGAGGAGCAAAGGGAGGAAGGACTGCGAGAGATTGCCGTTGCAAACGACATTGGATAGGAGTGGGAAAGAGGACAGGCAGACTGGCCTTCAAATAGTCGCGGCGACCCTGAAGGGCACCGTGGAAATGGTGTGCCTGTGGAGCGCGAACCTGCTGCGATCGAGAGCACTGGCACAGGGCATGAAGACCGGCCAGCGCGCATGCGGCGTGAGACCAGCTGAAACCAATGGAGCGCGCCGGGGAAGTCCGTACTGTACCATGTAACTTTGGTGAGGGGCTGGTATTGGTAAAACGCCAAGTCTTCCTAGCGAAAGCAAATGGCTTTTGGTCCACACCTCTGTATGTGGAATTCCTTGAGTCAATGGCGATAAACCCAGCAGCCCAAGGCGGAAAGCCGATTTTTCCTTTACCAAATTTTTGTTTTTTAGGGAACCAGTAAGTAGTACTTCGTACATTAGGGAAAAAATGTCCAAAGTCCATCTTCTTGATTATGTAGCCGGGAATGTTCGATCGCTTGTCAATGCTGTGGAAAAGTTAGGATATCAGGTTGAATGGATTCAATCCCCTGAAGACGTGAAGAAAGCCGAAGTTAGTGCCCCGTACCCTGTACCCCGTAGTTGAAGTGAACCGAGAATGCCAAAATATGTCGACTGACTACAACTTAGAAATTGATACTGCCTGGCGTGGGACATTTTGGCCACTGTGTAACACAGCTTTCAAAGGGCGGATTCCTTGAACCCATCAGGGAACACATAGAGTCCGGCAAACCATTTATGGGAATTTGCGTTGGCCTTCAAGTGCTATGTCAGGGATCCGCTGAGGCTCCTGGAGTCAAAGGATTGGGCCTAGTGCCGGCGACCTTGACGCGATTCAACTCTTCAAACAAAAGCGTTCCCCATATTGGATGGAATTCAGCAAAGTGCGAAAAAATCAGTCAAGGCAGTCCACAGACATTTTTCGGTCTGAATCCAGAGAGCAGGTATTATTACGTGCACTCATATGCAATTCCTTATGGAGACGGTCTGCTTAGCAACGGCGAATGGGCCGTAGCTACGGCCACGTACGTAGACGAGACCTTTGTTGGTGCTATAAGTCGAAAAAATGTCTTTGCTACTCAATTTCATCCGGAAAAAAGCGGTGCCGCTGGCCTGCGCACATTACACGCTTTTTTGGCCGGGGAAAATGGTCTTGTTGGGTGTTCACCGACGTTGCTTGTGCCCGGAGACCTCACACGACGAATAATTGCTTGCCTTGATGTTCGAGCCAACGATGAAGGTGATTTGGTGGTCACAAAAGGAGATAAATATGATGTGCGCGAGAAGAATGACGACGCCGGCCGTGGCAAGGTGAGGAATCTTGGGAAGCCAGTTGATATGGCAAGGAAATATTATCAACAGGGCGCAGACGAGATCGTTTTCTTGAACATTACGTCCTTTCGCAATTGCCCGCTAGCCGATGCGCCGATGCTTGAAATTCTTCGCCAAACAGCGGAGACAGTCTTCGTCCCATTAACAATCGGTGGGGGAATAAGAGACACTGTTGATACTGACGGCGCATTTGTTTCTGCGCTGGATGTCGCAACAATGTATTTTAAATCAGGAGCTGACAAGGTCAGCATTGGCTCAGATGCGGTGATTGCGGCTGAAAAATACCATGCATCGGGAAAACGGCTTTCTGGCACTACAGCCATCGAGACGATATCAGGTGCGTACGGAAATCAAGCCGTAGTGGTTAGCGTGGACCCGAGGCGCGTGTACGTTTCAAGCCCAAGTGATACTCGGCACCACACAATCTGGACAGAGTACCCAGATGATCGGGGCAATCGGTACTGCTGGTATGAATGTACCATTAAGGGAGGCCGAGAAGGGAGGGACATCGATGTCAAGGAATTAGTTGAGGCTGTGGAAGCCATGGGTGCTGGAGAAATATTACTAAATTGTATCGACAAGGATGGTTCAAGCAATGGGTTTGATCTTGAATTAATAAGAGACGTGAAGTCATTTTCGACGATACCCATCATCGCCTCCAGTGGTGCCGGTAGTCCAGCTCATTTCAAAGATGTTTTTGAACAAACTACGGCCGACGCTGCTCTCGGTGCTGGTATGGTATGTGGAGATCCCATTCAACGGCATAAATAACTGTGGGTGCAAACTAATATGGGACCAGTTTCATCGTGGTACATTCAGTGTTTCTGAGGTTAAGAGTTACCTTCAAGAAAATGGGCTTGTTATCCGAAGCCTTGACAACCTGGGCACTTGATCTTCAACATAGAGAGGCTGTTAATGGAGTGATTCCGTGAAGTGAATTTGGTGCACGCATACAGGATTCATCCTCTCCATTTTGAATTGTACAGAGCCCAAGTTCAAGATATAAAATCAAACTAAAGGGGTCGCGATGATTCAACCTCAGGTACTCTGTTCCCTCACAATCCAACAGGCAAGTTGTGCTGGTATGGCATCACTTATTGCAGTCTCAACGGCTTTGTGTTGGGAAAATACACTGAAAGTGTCCAATAATAGGAGCTATTCCTACTTTATCAGTACTCTATTAACTTCATTCCACTTTTGAACAAAGACTGGAAGTAGCACCATAAACCATGGTAAGCTAGGGCATGCCGGTGGCATCTTAATATGAGTATATAGGGATAGCACTCACTGCCAGGACTGATGCGACACCAAAAGTAGCGTGAATATACTTTGTTTGACTGAAGCTTGAAGGTTCGCAAAACAAACAATCAATCAACATAGCAAAATCCATTTTAGCCATAAATTAACACAAAAGACGATGAAAAGGGAAACCAGTTATATTTATTGTGCTTGTCATGCTCCCTGATAAAGCATTGTTAATAGTGCTGGGGAATTGAGCATTACAGTCATATTGAGCCCGGAATGCTAACTGGGAACTTCAAAAAGGGGCGAAAAAAAAAAAAAAAAAACGCATCACGTCACAAACAAAGCGCCAGAGTGAATTTTTGGGGAGCCATCACAGTTCTTCATGTACTGTGGCCTCAGCTTGCTTCGAAGAAGCAGGTGTTCCACTCTCCGTTGAAGCAGTGGACGCGACGGTCTCAGTTTTCGGTTTGCCAGTAACATCGCCTCCCTCCTCCACTTGTCCCTTGACATAAGCATCAACATGATATTTTCCATTATCACGGATAAAGTTCGCAAGATCTTCAACAGTTCTCGTTCCGCGATATTCCACAGGAGAATCCTTCGAACCGGCAGGGTAAAGTTTTATCGTAGGAAAGCCTTGAATTTCATCGGGTACATCATTCGCAGTAGCATCTATTTTTGCAATGACGACCTTTGAAGAAAATTCGGGATTATTCGCATAAAGCGAAGCTAGCTGTTCATATTTAGGTGCGAGGCTAAATGTGAAAGTCAGAGATGAAGCATGAGAGATGATAGAGAATGAGGGGCTTACGCCTTGCAGTGCCCACACCATGGGGCGTAAAACTCCAACAATACATCCTTGTCGTTGTTTTTCACGATGTCTTCGTATGAGTGACCAACCACGACAGTGACGGGCCCTTCTTGGGATTCAGGTACTGGTTCAGACTTGATACTGGGTTCAATTTTTCCATCAAGAACATCCTGGACGAATTGGCTGATGTCTTTTTCATCAATTTTTTTGGTCTGGTCATAAGGAAATTTCGTGTTCTTCACAGTATCCTGAATAGCAAATGCTGGAAACTTCTCAGGGTCAAGATTGAGATTTCCAGCATGCGCTCCAAAAGCTTTCGCATCAATGGTAGCAAAATTAATAGCGCCCTTTAGCTTTCTAGCGAGAGGCTTCAGGTCTGCAGCGAATTGCTCACGTTCTTCCAGCGTCTCTGCAAAGATATAAGCAAGAGGAATCCCTGCCTAAGCCCAAGAGGACGTTCACCGCAAGGTCAGTTGGATCTAATTAAATGTTGCCAGGAAAAGCTATCATTACTCACAGCCATGTAGCCAGAATATGTTTCAGGTCCAACTTCGCCGACAAGAGGAGTGCTAGCAGTTTTGACGAAGTGAGTTATTGCTTCTTTGTCGAATTTATCGACAAAAATGTCCTTGCGATCATCAAAGTCCTTATATAGGACAATTGCTGGCTGTGAGACACCCTCAGCCTCCGCCAATGTAGCATCATTGGTGCCTGCAAAAAGATATTCATCGCGTAACGCTTCAGCAATGGAGGTGAAGGTCTCATTTGATGCCTTATCGTCCTCTTTGAAATATCCAACAACGACTATTTTGTCTAGGCCTTTGATAGTTTCAAAGGTATCAGATGTTACCTTAGACACAGCAGGTAGAGACTGTTTGATCATAAAGGATACAATCCTAGCCATGACAATTCAGCAACATGTAGCAAGATGAATAAGGGGTGTCAAAGCTCATCACATACGATTGCGACTTTCTAGCACCATTGTAGGGCTTTGTTGACTCCAAGCCGCGGAATACCTTCAGTGTGGGATAGCCTTCAACGCCATATTCTTCACACAGCGCGGCTTCTTCAGTGCAGTCCACTTTGACAAGCGGGATATTCTTCTCCTTCAACTCAGACGCAGCCAACTCGTACTCTGGGGCAAGGGCTTTACAATGCCCACACCATGGCGCAAAGAACTCCGCGAGGACGAGGTCGTGTTGCGTAATAAAATCTTTGAAATTATCAGCCTTTAGGGATTTGACACTAGACTCGTCATCAGCCGCGAAGGCGGAAGTTGCAAAGCAGATGCCCGCCAGGCCAAGGGCGAGATGGCGCAACTGGTACATCTTGGGTAGATTAAACCCCTCGGCTCGCTCAAAAGTCAAGGCTCGAGTGCGAGGACGGACGCGTCAATGGTATCTTGACCGACCACTGCACAGATGCAACAAAGGAATTGATGGCTTGGAATGATCAGTAGTAAAAGAAAGGCTTCAATTGTTCAGCCAAGCATTGGAGAAGAGGGCTGTTTGTGTCAGGATTTGGGGAAATCAGAGGTTGTTATAGCTTTGCCCAATGAACTTTGAACTTTTGCGGCCGAAGATAAGGACAGGTTGTTCTTTTCAGGGCAGAGAAGACACGACATTACTAATGCGCCCCTTTACCAGTATCTGGAGCCACTTAAAATGTGTGGCGTATGGACTCTATTCTCCGCACAATGCTCCGCCTGGATAGGAAGAATCCTCCGATAGGGACTGGCGAAGTTGCTCACCAACTCCACATTTTAGTTAACTTAACTCCGGCTGTGGGCTGACCAGCTCCAGCCTTGTGTAGGCAGATCAATCAACCCCTGCTGCTGCTGCTGCTGCTGCTGCTGCTACTGGGGACTCCGTACATACGGGAATTCAAAATGCTCAAACAGTGTTGTCTGTGACTTCTCCATACATTTGGTTGAATCTGACTACATAATTATGGCTTGGCTTGGTAAAGTTCATGGCCATTGCAAATGTCAACAGGTATGCTCTCAACCCTGAGCTTCTGCACCTCACATCAGGTTCAATAGGCAGATGTTCAATGATACACTGATGTAGTTGGTTTACTAGCCATCTTTTGTTAATAGTGTGTACAACACACAATAGTTTGGTACAGCGTATTCATATTCCACACATATTTAGGAGTAGGTCAGTAGTTCCCTTCTCTCCAATGATTTCACCGGGGGGGGTAGTTTCACTAAGGTCATGTAGGAGAGGAGTAAGGTTGTGACGAGGCCATCTACAATCTGGAGCTCCCTTGCGCAGTAGTTATCACAGATGCAGAAGTTGAGATTGCTAACATCACTATCAGCCTCATTCATGCTTGAGACTACTCTGATGCACTGATACTAAGTTATTACTAACTGGTCATGATGCTATCAGGACAACATCTACTTTGTCGCCTTTCCTCAAGTAAGTATTGAGTACCATAGATACACTCTATAGTGCTGAGTAGAAACTGAACGGTCCTACGCCGTACGGAAACTGAAAATATGAAGTATACTCCATGCCCTGTACTCCATAGACGGTTTGACATTTCTGTTGAAACTCATCGTGCTACTCCGTACTCCGTACATGGGCGCCAAGCTTCCCTTCAACCTGACCATTCGCTAGTTAACTAAACATTTCTGGACTACTCTGTATGTACGGAGTAGAAGCTAGCTTGGCATCCACTGCCATGATATCATAACTTACTACCTAACTATCCTAGGTAACTTTGTACGCGCCCTGTCAGGGTAACTGCTCTGTATGTATGTACATCACGTCCAAGGTGGCTTGTAACAGCGTAACCGCGCTAATCTTCGCTTGGACTTAGCCAGACCTTGACATCATGTATGTGCAGGACATCCCAGACCAAGGAGCTTCTGCAGACCTTCTTTTTGTCCTGAATTTCTCCGCAATCTATGCATATTCTGGTTTGAGCCTGCCGAAGCGAGAAATAAATCGCCAAACGTGGCGCCTTGTGAATGTTTCAAAATGCAGTATACACCGTTTATCTCGGACATCGAAATTCCTTTCTTCTCCTCGCTTGCGACGTTGAAACTTAACCATGATAAACTCGACGATTCAATCCACAATATCTTAGGGTTCTACGAAGTTCGGCCCTCTGATCCACAGGAGGTATCCTGCCGGATGCAAGTCCCCGGCAACGCCCTGGTCGCTGATAAGTGGGTTCTGCTCAAATGGTCTAAAGGTTCTTTTATTGACTTGCCATTTAGAGTCCCGTTTGGCGCTTTTCGAGCCGAAGGTGTGATTAAAAATTTCAATACTGCTGAGGAGTATCGTATCGTCGACAAATCAGCCATGCTTCACGATGCAGGGAAGCGAGTAAGTTATCACATAGTCCTGGCCTTGTTATACGGCGCTAAGCTCACGACATCACTTAAGATTTGGGATGCGATAATGGATGGTTCAGTTTATTCATCCCCATCACTTCTTGCGTCGTTTTTGATGCTTTCATTTGCAGATCTCAAGAAGTATAGATTCTCGTACTGGTTCGCATTTCCCGCCATTCATTCGAACCCCCCTTGGGTTCCATCGCCTGTGCATCATGATAGCCGAGATCTCGATAAATCGGAAAATGCGATTCACCAATCTTCCTTCTCGTTGACCAATTCAGACAGGGATGCATTAGTAGATGCAGTACTGGCGTGGCGGTCGACTGTAGAGCCGCGCCAGCATGGCTTCTTCCTCGCTAGAAGAGTTCGACATCTGCCTTCTCAACCTCAGTTAGAATCTAATATACCCACCGACCCTGGTTCTAATGCAAGCCCACTTCAAGCTCCAGACTACAATAAATGCAACTGCACGTGGGAAGTTTCATCTCTGTCCACATACGAGAACGGGTTTTTCGGAAATGCCGCAGCGGAAGACTGTTTTATTTGTTTTGTTGATCCATCCAATTACCCAGATGCACCGGGCTGGATGCTAAGGAACTTGCTCATCCTAATCCGACATAAATGGAGGCTCAATAAGGTTCAAATCATCCGCTATCGTGAAATACCATCGTTTGCCATGGAACCCCAAAGCACTGTGATGATCTTGAAGTCTGACACGAGTATCGATGATAGCTTTTCTCGCTCTGGGAGTTTAGTCATGCCTAAGCTTAGTGGATGGGAACGCAATGCAAATGGTAAGCTTTCTGGTCGCTTGATAAATCTCACAGAACACATGGACCCCGAAAGGTAAGCCCTTGACATTCCTGAAAAAAGAAGAAGCAACTAATATGATGCTTTTAGAATAGCAGATCAGTCAGTAGATCTTAATCTGAAGTTGATGAAGTGGCGAATTACTCCAAGCCTTAACTTGGATGTTATCAAAAGGACCAAATGTCTATTGCTTGGTGCAGGAACCCTGGGATGCTATGTGGCGAGAAACCTCCTAGTAAGTGGGAAGACATTTTAATGAGATTGTTAATCTAATATAATCATAGGCCTGGGGCGTTCAAACAATCAATTTTGTTGATAATGGTTCTGTTTCATTCTCCAATCCTGTAAGGCAACCCCTTTTCGGATTCCATGATTGCCTATACGGTGGTGCCAAGAAAGCCGTTCGTGCCGCCGAAGCTCTCCAGGAAATTTATCCAGGGGTTTGTTCCACCGGTCATGTTCTGTCTATACCAATGGTAGGACACCCGATGGTCAATAATAATGATGCGAAAAGTGATTATGAACATCTAAAGAACCTTATTGATCAACATGATGCCATTTTTCTGCTGATGGACAGCCGAGAATCCCGTTGGTTGCCTACTGTCATGGGCAAAGCTGCTGGAAAGATGGTCATGAATGCGGCATTGGGATTCGACACGTTTGTTGTAATGCGCCATGGAACTACCGCTAGACGTCAGGAGTCTGTCCTTGGCTGTTACTTCTGCAATGATATCGTGGCGCCAGCAAATGTAAGTTCATCTGGCTCCATATATCCCAAGCTTGGAGTCTAATGCTAGACAGTCCACCAGGGTGCAAACCCTTGACCAGCAATGCACAGTGACAAGACCAGGAGTAGCATCTATGGCGTCCGCCTTGCTAGTTGAGCTTTTCGTCTCAGCCCTTCAGCAGTTCAATACACCCCCAGCCCCCGACTCCTCAAGCCATGAAGAAAACTCCTCACACCCCTTGGGTATTGTACCCCACCAGATAAGGGGATTTTTGTCAACCTTTTCAAACGTTGTTGTCACTGGACAAAGCTACGAATTCTGCAGTGCCTGCTCCAATAATATTGTTCATGCATATATCACAGATGGGTGGGAGTTTGTTCAGCGGGCAATCAATGAAAATGGGTACATCGAGGAAGTTAGCGGGTTGAAAAAGGTAAGTTCCCTTACAGTAATCTATGATAAAATGCTGATAGGACTAGGTTCAACAATCAGCAGAAGAGGCGATTGCGTCATTGGAGCTAGAGGATCCCCTTGATTCAGAAGGTGAAATGCTGTAACAGGACATAAAGAGCATTTACATGCCACAATCGTTCCTTCTATCCTGGATACATACCCATAGTTATCGTCCTATGAATTTACCTGAGTCAATTGGACACAAGATGAATCGATGAAAGGCCCTTCGCCCCATTATATCCAATTGCAAGGCGTAAGTGGAGATCTTCACAAGTAGATGTATGCAGAGCGTATTCCAGCAGGGGTATCATGTTGAAGGTCGCTTCATTTCTTTGTAAGGGGCTGGTTCTTCGAGCGACTCTCGCGTCTCCGCTGTGGAGGGATTTCGCTTTCTCTTCCGAACAAACGCGTTCAAATCATTTGCGCCTTTGATAGCTTCTTCCAGTAACACTTTCCCCGCCGGTGACTGAACTTGATTAAGTATGCTATTTTCCAATACACGATCCGGAACCTGAAAAGAGTCCGTAATTGAATTTGGTGGATGAAGTAGATCAGTAAGCTATCGACAGGTTAGTAAATAGACAACTTCAAAGCAATATGAAAACTAAAGCAGAGAACACACCCTTTGCTGCATATCGGCCACAATCTCCTTTACATCCTCTATGTTGCGACTAAGCTTGGCCAGTTCCTGGATATTGCCGGACCCCATACCCGCCAACTTCTCTTCTTCTGAAGATATTCTGAACTTACAGCACTGGATTGCCGCTTCCATATGTTTTGCTGCTTCTGCTCTCATTTGCAAATCGACTTGCGATGTCACATGGCTATCTTCGCCACTCGTTTGGGTGACGGAAGAAAATTCCAAGGCTAAAGATAATTTGTAATGACATTCAGCAACTGTAGAGTCCCCTGGCGGAAAAAGTTCACGTTTAAGTTTCAATGCAGCCCGCAGGTCGGACACCGCCTCTGAGAATCTTTCACCCTCTAGGGAAATTTCTGCTTGTAAATCGTAAATATCGGAAAGTCGCTCCTTCAGCCTTCTAATTTCGGTAGACTCGGGAACACCTTTCTCGCCAGAAAACGACAGCAATATACTGTCCAATTGCCGCGATAATAACACACGTGCCATGTCAAGAGTTTCGAATGCGTTTTCGAAATCATCGTCTTCGACGAGCGCTTCGCGCCCCGTATCCCCGGCGTCCTCCTCGTCTTCGTCGTCGTCATCGAAATTTTCATCCCCGTTAAACTGAAAATAAGTTTTATTGGTACCGGTGTCACTGTTTGTTTTCACATCTCGCTCTGCAGCTGCTTTATCTTCCGTGGAAGTGTCATTTTTGTCACTTTGAGGCATAAAGAATTGAGGTTGATTAGACGATTCCTTTCCCCGGGGTTTCGATGATTCAACCACATTTTGAACAGCGGCCTTAGAGCCAAATACGTCGCTTTTGCTCACTGCAACGTGATAGAGGCATCTTCCATATGAGTAAAGCAAATCTGCATTGTCGATAGCCATTTCGCCATTTAATTCAGCTTGTATTTCAACCGCTCGAGAATACAAGTCGGCAGCGGAGTTATAGTCTTTGATCGCTTCCTTTGCAGAAGCTAGGCGTTTAAGCTCTGCCAGGCGATCTTCCTGAGAAGAAGATTCTAAAGTTTCTGGCATGATCGAGTGATTCCCGGCATCAAGGACCGAAACGGCGCGTTCTTATGCAATGTTCAAGGAAGCTTTGTACGAGGGTACGATGGATGTGGCAAAGGTGGTGAAATTTAGCTCCCTTTCTCTGTTCTCGATAAGGTACGAGGTCAATTGTTAGAACTTAGTTAACCTTATTGAGCAGTTAACTAAGTAACTAAGTTAACTTAGTTAGCGCGTCTTACCTAACTCGTCCGCCATTCGGGTGGTTGCCTTCATGCGGAAGTACGTATCTAGACGGAGTACTCCATGACGAGGGAGTTAACGGGTCACGTGGTCCTAACCCATGTTGGGCTGAGACTTCAACTCTTCGATCTAAATCAAATCCCTGCCACTTCTTTGGGGCACTTGTAGATTGCCTCGAGAAACTATGAAACAATACGAAGTAGATAGTTGTATGATATAGCCATTTGACTTCCAGGTGATCAATATTCTGAGAATGACACGGAGTAAGGGACATCATAACATGTAATTATGATTTAGTCTACAGAAAACTCAGCCGCCTTGCACCTAACTCGCCATCCTATCCAACAACGCCTTTCATCATGTCTGGCCTCGAATGTCAGTCATAGGGCCGAGGGATCAAAGTTTGAACTGGCATTAAGTTTCTTCTGGATTGCTCCTGACAGCACCGACAATCCATGTAAACCAGTCGTCCAACCTGCCCCTTTCAATGTAGCTGCGTAGCAATTTGGCTTCTTCATCAAAATCTTCGAGTAAACGAGCTTGCTCTTCTGGGAGGAGACGAGAGGCAAGCCCCTGGGGAAGTATGTTCGAATTGGCAATATCCACAGGCGTATGGACTTTGCAAAACAGCTCGGACTCATTTTCAAAGTCTATCGAATTTTCAGTGAGTGCATACCAGAAAGATACTTCCTTCAGAACAGATTGGACTTACCTTTTATATCACTCAAGGTCCTAAATAATACGGTGGACCGGATAACATCTTCCACTTCTTTATCTCCTTTTTGCTTGGTGCGATTAATGATATCCCAATCATCGCGAATCATACAACGCCGCCAGAGAAGCTTTTCAAGAACATTGCAGTATTCAGGGTCCTGACGGCTCAAATCACTCAAGCTTAAAGCTTTCAATGCCAAACTAAATTCATGGCCGATAATATCCTCGTCCCCATCTTTCATAGAGGGTGCGGGATCTATTAATGTCAGGGTATCAACCAGTTCGTCAGGCTCCATGGGGCACTTGGCAACCAACTTCGCTAAATTACGATGAAGAGCTTCGCGAAGAGCGGGTTTCGAATGAACGATTACCTTCCCGAACTGCTCATTGGCTAATTGCACCTCCGCACTTTGGTCAATTGCGCCGTGTATAGCAGGTGCTATATGACCGTACAGCATTTCTTGAATGCGTGAGAGCTCGGAAAGATCATCAAACCGTTTAATATCTTCCTGAAGGCTTGCTAGATCCTGTTTCTCCGAACTTTCAAGTGTCGCAAGCCGACAAAGCTTTCCTATTGCGAGTTCCACTTGTTTGCTCCATAGATTCGACTCATAGCTTGTCGCAAAATTGCATAACGATTTCGAAGCGCTGCCATAATCCTTTTCTCCTAGGACATCATTCATCCAACTCAGCTTGGCGTAACCTGGTCGCTGATGCAGAAAACGAGTAATATGTTCTTGATACGGTGACATCAATACTAGCATCTCTGGATAACCAGCCAATATCTGTCGGGTATAAAAAGGGTTAGCCCAAGCCTCGCCAAATCTCTCAAAATACTTGTCAATTCTCAGTTGGCAAGCCTCCATTTCGCCATCGTATGCTGGGTCGCCTGCTCCTGCTGGATGACGATCTCCAATCCGATTTTCCATTTCGACTATAAGTTCAACCAATGCGTCCATGTCCTCGAAATTCTCAGCGAGCTCGATAGACTCTTCTAGTAAACCCATTGCTGCCATCTTGTAAAGGTGCGTTTTACGGTGCACAATGTAACATTTTTGAAGCTCTTTCCCAGCATCCTGCTCCTCCACCGAAGCTTGGGAAATGCACCAATTCACACGCTCCATATACAGTTTCCATAATACTCTGAACGCTTTGGGGATGTTCTTCTTAATTCGTTGGATCATACTAGAAACGGTCTGATCAGGACCCCCCGGATCTTTTTGTTTCAGCCATTGAAGGCAAACATTCAATTCGGCATCAAGGAGTCGTTCGCTCTCGACGTAGTTGACTTTGTCCGCCGTCCACAGCGCGGAAATCAAGCTGTACTTAGGCATCGGAAGCCCATTTATACCCGGGTAGCAATCCCTTAGTCCATATAGCTTAGCGTGCTCCTCCCGGAGCTGAAAAGTGGCACCCAAAGCAGCCAAAGAAAGCTCGCTCGCTTGCAAAATTTGCCAGACGAGCTGTCTATCCAATCTGGTACCATTGTTGGACATATCCCTAATGCCGTGTAGAATCCAAGGAACGATATAGTCCATTCGCCATGTATCGTGGATAAACCAATGGCGAACAAGATCTTCTTCCCTATTGCTAGAAGGGAATTTGGTTCTAAACCTTTCTCCCATCTGTCCTAGAATATATTCCAGATGAGTCCCACCAATTTCAGAGTTCCTACATATATTTTCCTGAGCTTTCCAAACCGCCCTATGAGCAGCTACTTTCTCAGCGTGTGATAATAGAGTCCATCTTGCCGGATAAGAGAGTTGGAAATGTTGCTTGCTTAGATAAGTAGCCAATGCGCAAAGAGCTGTAGACCGCAATTTCATTTGCTCATCTAAGCTTGCCACCGTCGCCGGAACAAATTTGGAATTAGATCGAAGGATGTCGCTGCTAATCTGAAGAGCCGCATCCTCAAGAGCGCTTGGCGACATGCACAGTTCCTCGTAGCAAGTAAGATCCAATGGGTTGCCTTTAATATCATAAAATACAACTTGTTCAAGTCGAGATTTCACCGTTATCCGACCTTCGTCAACACCTGTGCGGGATATGGGTCGAGCACGAACGGAAATACGAATCAAGCCGAGATTCTGAACCATTATGAGGCAAGACGGAGATTTCTGGTCAAATTGTGAACGCTCAACTCCACATCCAAGAATTGCGTGGTCATTTTCATCGCGGAATTTGATATAGTCCTGAAACGGGGTCGGAATAGGCCCGCCGTCAAGCAATAGCTGCGAAGAAGGCGATTCTCGCAACGGTACCAAAGATAATAAAACAATTCCACACTCGAAAATAATGAATCCAGTGTGCCCAGGTTTAGGGACGTGTATCCGTGGTGTCCATAGATTATCGTGCCTAGTCACAGTCGGTCTAGGGGTGACTGAGGAAATACGACCGACGGTGACTTGAGAGCCGTGGATATCTACCTCAACAACCCAATAACAGTTCGACCGCTGTCGTGTGGCGGACAAAAGCACCCATAGAGAGTATCTATCCTCACTTCCCTCTAGGTCCACGCTGCTAGAGTCCTCCCGAAACGTGAAGTCCACAAGCTGGTAGGAATCGGGATGATAGTCTGTCGAAATAACACAACTCTCCAATGCGTGACTTACCGCCTTCACCACCTCGATCCGTGTTTTGAAGATACTCCCATTGCTCCAATGAGTGTCCCAAACTTCTATTAAACCGGAATTTGTAGCAACCAAGAGGTTGCGGTGCCCCCGTCGATATGACTTGCCAGCCTTGGCAGCAACTACATTCTTCCGCCAAGAAGCACTTGAAAGAACATTCCGAATTCCTCCAAGTAAACCACCGCCCGTTAATCGCGATGAAGCATTGAGAAATTGAAAGTTAAGGGCCGGCTTTCCCTGTGAGTCTCGAACGCAAACATGACAGACCCGTCCTGTAGATAATATGACTATGAACCCCGCTGGCTCAACATTAACGATCTCTGTCGCATATTCACCAGAAAGCAGCCCAGGGATTGCATCTTGTAAGCCGCTCCGTTGTTGTTTAATCAACCCAAGTATCGTCGGATTTGAAACAGTTTCCCAAAACAGAACTTCACCGGTTGATGGAAGGACAATGACTAAACCAGGTTCCGAGTGAGTTGATGGAGAGATGAGGGTTGCTAAAGGTAAAGCGTCGCTCGGCTTTGCTGAAAGTTCTAAAAGGGAAAGCACACGGACATCATTCGTAGCTAATGATGTAGAGGCGGCCGAATATGGCCATAGAATTGCGTTCCTTCTGGTAAGGGCAACGCAATATCCAGCATCGGGAGAAATAACACAACGAAATGGTTCTAAAGGGGTTAGACAAACGCTGGGAATCGATAGCCTTCAAAGGATTAGGCTAACCTCGTAAGATCTCCTTCACCCTATCCGGGACTGATGGTAAATGAGTAGCTAAATAATAGTCGTTATTTACCTATTGGAAGCATATGTCAGCCACAAGCCGTCGTCAGATATCAGTTCGACAGTCAATTACCAAGATATTTGACATCTTAAGGCGGTCACAGTTATCGAGTTTCTCTGGCGCCGGACTAGAGGTATCATGTAAGCCGGTGTTGTTCGGAGGAGTTGATTCCCTTCGCGCTGTCTCATTTTCGCTTTGATTAAAACCAAGCTTTATTTCACACTCTTCCTCCGTATCATAGTTATCGAAGGAAGTATCCCGCAGCAGTGATTTTTGTTTCTTTGCTTTCGGCGGATTGGAAACGTCATCTGAGGTTCTCTGTCTTCGGCGAGAGTTTCTATAAGCTAACGGAACCTGGGTTGCACTATTTGTGGAAAACATGATGAAAAAGGTGAATTGACAGAAGTTTGCAGGTTCAGTCCTGTTTCTATGCTTGCTTCGGAATGCTATTAGAGAGACGAAAATGGCACTTGTCTGGAGAGCTAAATAAACTCACAAGGAACTGTTCAGCGTTTGGCGAGGACACGCTCCGACAGAGAGCGCGCAAAACTTCACTCGCGTTGACAAAGCACCCCATACGTCGTACTCCGTACTCCGTTTAGTTTGGTAGACTATGGAGCTGTTGGAGCATGGAAAGCTAATCTTGGTTGTACTGCTACAAAAGAGGCTAGCGACATCTCATCTCTTACGGTGAGATGGAGCTTGGCCTGATCACGTGGGGTCACGTGCGCGCTAAACCCAAAAGGGTTAGGGTGCGCGAAACAGGAGCTCTCCCAATTACATAAGGTAACCAATAATGCTTGGCATCTGCATCTCGCCTGCGGAATAACGTAATCCACCCCCGAGCGAACCTGATGGAGGACTTGTATGCTTGTTATTCACTAAGCTACCTAAAGGGGAATCTCGGCTAATCTATGTGGGTCACGTGAGCGAGGTGCTAGTTGGATTACCTAACAGAACCACCTTGGAAAAGATACTCCGTACATACAAATCTCAACTTTTTGCTCTCTTATATCTCAACAACATTGTTGAATGTAGGCCTTAGAATTTATATGTAGAGTACTCTGTATATACGGAGTAGACACCTAGTAAACAGTCTTATCAATTTTATTTATTTAACTCTATTATTTGTAAAGATACTTTGATACATGCCAGTAAAAAGATAATAAAATACTATAACTTAAGAAATAATTATTATATTTAGATAACTAATTCTTATACTTTACAAAGTTTATTATAACTGTATAGTATCTTCTTCATTTTATAATGATCAGACATAAACTTGTTAAGATAAGAGAGCAAAATGTTGAATGTATATTTTGGTGGTTCGCTCGGTGGTTTGGTTCGCTCGGGGGCGGATTACGTTAGTTACCTAAATGTATTATTAATCATCCTTCTCTTCCAGAAAACTTCGAGCGCTGGTCTTCTATCCTCAATAGCAAACATCCAGAGCCAGAAACAAGACTTGGGATTCTGGTAAATTCGGGCCTTGTAAAGCTGAAGTTCAACCATTTTTGTGAGAAGCCGCGCGAATCAGCATTTCTAAAAAAAAAAAAAAAAAAAGGAAAAAGGAAAAAGGAAGAAAGAGAGATGGAGCGTATGCTGCTGCTCTCTCCTCCATCGCTCGCCGCCCGCCCAGAGAGGTTGAACACAATCCTCAGCTCTCACAGTCGATATGCCACTGATCTCCAGATGCTTGATCGCGTAGCGGCCGGCCTTGTGTCGCTACCGCAATCTACCTATGATATTGTCATGCTTTTAACAGATGTTGATGGGTTGGGAACAGGCTCGACCTCCGCGATGGGTCGCGGGGTCATCCAATCCGTCGTACGTGCGCTCCGCCCAGGGGGAAAATTTAAAAGAGAAAACGGGACTTTCCCATCGACGGAATGTCCAGACAACACCGAACTTATGCTTGCGGGGCTGGTGTTCGATGATACTGGCGGTCTATTAAAGCCGGACTTTGGCCCTGAAAACATTGTGCCACTTAAACTTGGAAAAAGAAAACCCGTCCACTCAGTTTCGAGCAATGGCACAGGTACTAGTGGACCTCATGTCAACATGCAATTATCGACTGGGTCCATGCTGAAAGGACAAACCACGACCATCAAAGGAGTAGGTTTCGTCGATTTTACCGACGATCCATCTCTTTCCGAAGCCGATATCTATAGCGGGCAGACGGATGACGAACTCATTGATGAGGAGACACTTTTGGATGGAGAAGACATGGGGCGACCAATTATTCAACGTGAGTTTGGTCTGCTTTATAGATATAATCTCTTATGGCAATGCTAACATGCTTTCAATCCAGCACCAGAATGCCGCCCAAAAGCTGGGAAACGTCGAAGGGCTTGTAAGGATTGCACCTGTGGACTTGCAGAAAGACTGCGTGAAGAGGATAAGGCTGCACGCGCCAAAGCAGATGCTACTTTGGAAACTATGAAACTAGCCCCTAAAGAGCTGGCGGAAGTTGACTTCACAGTCCAGGGCAAGCTGGGGAGCTGTGGGAATTGTGCTCTTGGCGATGCTTTTCGGTGTGATGGATGCCCATATATTGGCCTCCCTCCATTCAAACCTGGCGAGGAGGTCAGACTTTTGAGTAATGATGTCCAGCTTTGAACTCGCAGTGTACTCGGGAGCATGATCAGGCATTGTTCCCCGTACCTCTCTTGTCCACGATGTAAATGTATGCCTTCGCATTCATGTTAGTTGCCTGAATTGCCTCGTGTCTTCATGATCTGAAATTGCTTCGATTTTGCTTCTGTGGTTTAACCTACCCATGAGAGGCCTCACTTGTCTGACATTTTGAATTTATCTAAGACTAAGAGTATGAATAGAGGCCATGTCATTGGTTACATGCATATAACCATACACGCGATGGTGTAGAGTATGAACTTGGCGGCTTAATCACATCACAAGGACTTTCATCGCCTCGATTTGGAATGAGGTATCTAGAAATTAGGAGAATTATGGTTAGGAAAGGTCAGGGTATGAGAAATATGAAATAATTATTCGGGTGCCCAGAAGTTCCCGTTCCCTCTTAGATGGTCCAAATAGAGAGTTACCTCACCCTGTACAGAGTACTCCCGGATGGTTGGATGCCATGGGTCTGACTGCGCTAATCCTATTTAATTTTAGATATGGTAGGCCGAGGGCAGCCAGACTTTGCCCGAGGGAGGCGAATGAGCGTGGTGTGGTTGGAGCATTGCAAGTCATGCCCCAAAAGAAAACTCAGCAACACATTTTCATCCTTCACCTAGTTGGGACTCGCAGAACAAATTCTACTTCATTGACCCAGAAGGGGGCATATCTACAATAGAAAAGAAACGAATATCAATTGCTTTAGATATCAACCATGTCCTTCTCAACACTTGTCCAAGACATCGCATACAGAGACTCCCATCCCGATGACCGCAGCTCAATCTTGTCGAGAGGAGGCAGGACTCGATCCCATGCCAGCACGGCCGCGACCAGCGTAAGCATTTCCGGCGACATCTCGAGCCAGTTACATGCTGGCTACAGCCATCCACTGAACCGCATCTGGCAAGCTGAGAGGCAATTAACCAAGGTCAGTAATGTACCTTTTTTTTTGTTTCCCACCGGTTTCGCTAGATCGCAACTAACCGAGCACTGCTCACCCAAGTCTATGCTTATTTACCCCCTCTTCATAACCGATGTTCCTGATGAAGAAACTCCTATCCCATCCCTACCAAATCAATACCGTCGTGGAATTAACCGTCTCGTTCCCTTTCTCACCCCCCTGGTAAAGAAGGGCCTTCGTTCAGTTATCCTTTTTGGGGTCCCACTTGCCCCTAACGCCAAGGATGCTCTCGGTACAGCAGCGGATGACCCGGCAGGCCCAGTTATTCAAACCATTCGCCTCCTTCGCGCACAATTTCCTCAGCTCTACATCGTAACTGATGTCTGTCTGTGTGAATACACTTCTCATGGCCATTGCGGGATTCTGCGAGAGGACGGCACGTTGAACAATGCTCTATCCATTGATCGAATTTCCGACGTGGCCCTAGCATATGCAGAAGCTGGAGCGCATTGCGTTGCTCCTTCCGACATGAATGATGGTCGGGTCCGTGCCATCAAACTCAAACTAATCGAAGCTGGCATTGCGCATCGCGTGCTCCTCATGTCCTACAGTGCTAAATTTAGTGGATGTCTATATGGACCGTTCCGCGATGCGGCAGGATCAGCTCCTACTTCTGGCGACCGTAAATGTTACCAACTACCACCTGGTGGCCGGGGTCTCGCCCGTCGTGCAATTCAGAGAGATATAGCCGAGGGTGCAGATATTATCATGGTGAAACCGGCAGGTAGTTACCTCGACATCATTAGTGACGCCAAGGAACTAGGTAGGGACATGCCCGTTGCGGCATATCAGGTCAGCGGTGAATATGCGATGATTCATGCGGGTGCTAAAGCCGGTGTGTTTGATCTGAAATCAATGGCAACAGAAAGTACAGAGGGCATTCTGCGCGCCGGTGCCGGCATCGTGGTGAGCTACTTCACACCAGAATTTTTGGACTGGCTCAGTTCCTGAACAATGCTATGAGATACCAAGGAGATGGAGCTTAGGGGAGTATTAATTTTACTGCCCTAGAGCTTGAACATCCCTAATGCTTTTCTGGTTTGCCAGAAACCCCCAGTACATCGTGGAGGCTGTCATTATCCGCTTCGAATAGGAGTGACCGCAATCTTAGTCCTACTTTGCCATTTGATCTGCACAACACTCAGCTACATGGTCAAAAATGTACCCGGGATCTTGACTTGTGTAACTTAAGAATTATCATACCTAATGTAGGGTTTCAATGAGGTCTATGTAGACCATATTCGCATCATATGCTGACTAAATATGATGATTCATCTATACGGTTAGAAAAGAACAATTGCGACAGCAAAATAACCAATAGGCAAATAAAAGGCGATATATCTAATGTGCGGCCATCCAAACGGTGAATATGTTGATACTACAGACATACAGATCATAGATGCAACTACTCCGGGACCAGCCCTCCCATGACAATTAGGAATTGAAAACAAGAGGAAAAAAAAAAAAAAAAGAAGAGGTAGGATGTGAGTTAGGACATTATCAAACGGCACAGCAACAGGAACAAAAGGAAAGGAAAGGAAAAGAGCAAGGCAAAAATATATAGATCCGCAGTGTTGACAGTAAGATAGGTTCGATCAACCTTTTTGGGCTGCGTAGAGTTCCAAATGTAGAAACCCAAACACGCAACAGGAGAATCAAATAACGAGAATCAAACATAATACACCGCTGAGGCTGTTTTTTTTCGCATCAGAACATGAGTATCGTAGCAAACAAATACGCTCACGGATAATTGGGTTTTAGACCTTGAAAGCCATAGGGCAAAATTTGAGACCTGACAACTTCACCAGGAGCAATATACGCCCCTCTTCCCAGTGTCACACCCGGCAGAATCGTGCATCCAGCGCCAATCCAGCAATCTTCTGCAATAACAACCGGGCGTCCTTGGTAACGGCTTTGCGAGCCTTTACGCTCTTGCATACTACCAATAGCCATCGAACTAAGAATGGTCACATTGGGACCTATCCACGTATGTGCACCGACGGTAATAGTGCAGTCATCCGCGAAGAAGCAGTTTTCAGATATCAGAACATCCTCCCCAATATTAATGTTATAGCCGTAATGGCAATTAAAAGGGGCTTCCACCACGGCACCGGGACCTAAAGATCCAACCAGATTCGAAGAAACGCTTTCGGTTTGCCCCTCTGAGGAAGGTATCAAAACTTCGTTCAATAGCCGAGTACGCTCGATGGCACTAATGCCATAGATCGGGTTACCGGCATTGGCGAACCGCCAAAGGGCAGCTTTGCAGCGTTCCCGATCCTTGATCAGTTGAGGATCGAAAGGTCGATACTGTTCGCCGCTGAGCATCTTCTCCTTTTCTGTCTTTCCGCTAGATTCAAACGTAATATGAGGTTCCATGTTCAGAGCCATTCGTGCTTGGGCAGAGTAGTTGGCAGGGTCAATACGAGGAGGGCCCGACCTTTGTTCCATTGTCGTCTGAAATACGGCCATTCCTGGCTTAGCGTGTGTACTATGAGTTAGTTCACAAGATGAATGCACAACCGGATATTCCGACTTAGACTTGTCGGCGCGGGACATTTCCTTCAATCCTGAACTCTCTCGGAATTCAGGTTTTGGTGGTCCGTCTGGAAGATAAGCCGTTGGCCCCTGAGCAGTCCAAGAATTTTTAAGCCATGAGTTTCTCGAACCGGGCCCCGGAGGGCTACTAATGTATTGCGTTGCCGCCCGATCGGCTTCATCAACAGGGACTGGTCGAGATTTACTACCATCTGGGAGCATTGTCGCCTGAATCCTCGCGTCATGGCGCTGAGGGCTCATTTCGTGCGTGTATGGGTGAGCGACCTCTGGATAATTTCCTTTTGATTGCAAAGGAACAGGCCCTTTAGGGTTTGCGGGTTTCTGCCAAGTGCTACGGACAGAATACCCTTCACAAGGAAAATTGCCGCGAATGCAATTATTACCTGAAAGTTTGATTAAAAATCTATGGCAAAATAGTTTCTGTACGTGGTGGATCGATAAAGCCAGTGTAACTTACACGCAGGGTGCTGCTCATCACACTTCTTCTTTCGCCTACGGCACGTCATACAACCCGTTTTGGTTCTATTACTGAACACCCTCTTCCTTTTAGGGCCGGGCTGCGTAGCAGGTGTTTGAGATTGCGCTTGCGACTTGCTTTGAGGTTGGGTTTGGGTTTTGTTTGGAGGTTGAATTTGGTGATGCGGTTTATCTTGATCATCTGGTTGGTTCGTGGCATGAGTAGCCAATTGAGCCTGATTTGGGCCTGTGGTTTCATCCGGGTGCCCGTTTGGTACAGGATCCCAGGCTTTCGAAGCGACATTGTTGTCTTGCACATCCCGCTGGAGAGCTTCTGCGACCTGTGCATCAGAAGACTCAGCAGGGGGGGCTGACTGTTCTCCATGCGTTGTAGACCGTGAATCGCGGCTATCCCAGCTAGGGCGATGAGAAATAATGTTGGTTTCATCTGTTGGGTCGGCAGAGGAGTATTGTCGCTGCATAGTCTTCACCGCGGGCTCGGATTCAGGGGTAGTGGCCGGCTTTCCCATGCCGTTCGTATCTAGCGAACGTGCCTGCACCGTTACGCTATCATCCGCTTTAGAGTTGGGACTTCTGGGATTACTTTGAGTATGATTATTGGTCGATGGCGAAGGATGCCTATCACTAGAATCAGATCTCTTCCGTTTGTTTCGATTTAGGCTGGCGGAGCACGCATCAGAGGTCCTGAGGTTTTCGATTTGATCGTGATTCACTTTTTCCGATAAGCTATCCATTAACAGTTCGTTCTGCGCGGGTGAAATCTTTTGATGGTCACTTCCAGGTCGGCTTTCGACAGATCTTTCACATTCATGGCTGCGGTCAACCAGCGGTTGGAGGTCCGAAGAGCTGTGTAAGAGCGAAGGAGGATCTCTGCCGTTGACGGCAGTAAACCGAGACGGGCTTTGCTCTATACTTGGGTCTCTTGTCGAATCATGGTTTCCATTAGCCACCGTTGGGGCCGCCACAGCCGACATTGCCACTGTTGTTTTATATCTGAGTCTAATCTAACCGCGCAGTGTAACGGAGACTTTAACAAGGCCCCTCTATGCCAATGCGGATTAGAATCGGTTGCGCGGACCGGGCCTTTAGGGACAAGGAGCTGGTCTGTAGCGGATAATGGAGCCGGACAAGCCTTATCACTTTTCAGTGAGGCCTGGCAGTGGATTTATGGTAGACGCATACGATCGAAGCTGAAGTGGTATCAATCATGCATAAATCACAAGATTCCAACCGCCGCGGTGAGGAAACAGTTCGGCAGCTAAGATAGAGAGGCAATGGCGCCGACCAGAAGGTGGATATGAACTATGGCGGGCTTAGTGGGTTAACCAAGGACTTAGAACGGACAGTTAAAAATATAGAAGCGATCCTTGAGAAGGCAGTAGATTAGGCATAAATGGGTTAAGGATCAAGGTAAGGGAAGAACGTTTTGGATGAAAGCAAAGTGTGTATGTATTGAAGGTATGACGATGGAGCTTTTAGTCTTCGGGGTATCACTGATCTCCTGCTCTAAGCTATGGGTTGGCTAGAGATTGAGTGTCTCGAAAGGAAACGGAAAGCGACGTAGATTAAGTGACGGTGGAATGGGACTGGAAACAATCGAGTGGGAAAGGGAGAGAAACAAGAGGGAGAGGGGAGTTGGAGTTCGGGTGGGCGATTAAAACCACCTATTATTATGAAGACGACAAGGCGAAGCAGAGCTGAGTTAAACTAAATTAGGCTTGGAGTCGACGGTTAGAATTTAGTCCCAAGGGAAACTGGGAAAATCAGCGACGAGAGCGAAAGAGGTGAACTGCTCCTCTCAAGACAACGAATCACCGACTATAGGTACTCCGTAGCTTTGGCCCCCTCAGTCTCTTATCCCGTATTTCGAGTCGATGGTCATGCCATAACCGATTAGATGAGATATTCTCTCGACTCCTCAAGGTGCGACAGGTCCTTGAATGAGAGGCGGGGGTCTGCGAATGGTTGAATCAGACCTCCAGCCTAACCGCCCTTAACCCAGCGAAATTGAGCGATCAGACGAAACTTAGGGCGGCTGGGCGGGTGGGAAGGGCGTTTGTATCGTTTCGTTTCGGCTGTCGCTTGCGTTGCGATTGGATTAGAACTGTATTATTGGTTTGCGCCTGTTTGGCCTGAAAGAAGGTTGTAACCCTGGTGGTCCGGAAGCTGTTTTGCCTTCACGCACACACGCATTGGTATTATTCAGTACTGACCTGTATTTTTTCTTACATGAAAGTGTAATTCATGATCCTGATGCATGTTCTTTTGCGTCCCTGTCCAAAAAAAAAAAAAAAAAAAAAAAAAAAAAAAAAATATATATATATATATATATATTATACAAGAGCTGAAAAAACCACAGGTCAAATAATGACAACTTGTTGAGACTGCTTTTTTAACAACACAAGTTGAATTACACCAGCCACTTAGATGGACATATCACGCACCTGAGCACTCCTGAAATTCAAAAGTTGTCAACTCGGTACAGCGTACTGTCAAAGATACATGGTACCTGCCAGCACATACGGAGTACAAATAACCAACCTTCTTTACTCGTACAAATGTATGTACGGTGTATGCACAGGCGGAGGCCAGCCAGCTAACTAAGCGGCGGCTGGCATCAGCTTGTTCATCTGGAGTTAACCTCTCAACTCTGTGGACTTTTTGTCCCAGCCAAACACTGCAGATCGCACATGGCAGGCAACGACAATCCTTTCAATAAAAATAGCAGTTAACTCGGGACTCCGTCCTCCGTACTCCGTACTCCGTAGGCGCTGCAGAATGTTAAACCGCCTAGCGCGGGGCTCATTTTCTGGCCAGCCAGTTCAAATTGAAATGCCTTCTCGTCTTCTTGACAGGGATGGACGGTCGAAAATACCGCCGCAAAGTCAGCGACCACCAAAATCCTGACCACCAAATTTGCCTCCCAATCCCCGCCGTTGGCAGTCTTTGGTTACCCAAAGAACTAATCAATCGCCATCTATTCAGAGGTGCATAGCGCGCTCCCAAATCGCATATTCGAGTTCCGGGATTGCAGTACTATGCGTGCTCCGAGTAACGTTATTGGACATACGGAATCCATGGCCAACCAACCCCTGTTGCCAGAACCAAAAGGAAGTGGGTTCCATGTGGTTTGGCTCAGGAACTCTTTTGGATATGACTTCTTGGGTCTGTATTTCCAGGAACTCCCCGGTTGCAAATGTCATTTGAGGTGACTTCAAGCTGAGTTACCAGGTCAGATTTCAAAGCCAGCAAAATAATCCAGGTGCAAAAAGAAGCCAAAACTGTAGGCAAAATACTCCACACATAATATTCATGTATTCAATCAAGAGTACCCTCTCACTCCAGAGGTCTCCAGGCAGAAAATGGAAAATTCGAAATAAATTCATGTCCAGAGAACTTTGGATAATGTATACGGAATAAAGGGTACAACGTGACTTGTATCAATTTATCCTGGGCAATGGAATGGGGGGGGCTGGGGTTTGATGTTTGTGGAACAAAGACTTTCCCGCGGTGACACTTGCACATCTCAGCGCCAGTCGCTAACCAACCGCTTGTCGAGGATGGGAATCTTTGAGTTTTCTTGGATGCACAGTCTTGCCAATCAGCATGAATTGCAGGGTGGCCAATACACCATGTTCATCTTTTTCCTCACCAAGAGAAATTTTAAAGATGTGGGTTTGGTGAAAGTACAGAGTACCGTGAGTTGAACGAATAGTTTAATCACCTAGAAGTTCCAGTTAATATGCCCTGACATTCATGAACTGGCTGCCCAGGTAACTACAACTTCGAAAAAGTAGAACAATAATCCGAACTGTCGGGTTTCCCGCTGCGGCTCACTTGACGAGACGGGGTACAGAGTACGGAGTACAAAGTTAGTTAGTCTATCGCGGCAAAGGCGTGCGGAAAAGAGGTTTTCCGAACTGAATCATCCTCGGTGGCGGCAATTTTGCCCGCGCTCGCAAAACATTTTTGAAAGTTGGGACGGAATCGTACGGAACCCCAAGTACTTTTTCATCATCCCTTCATATCTTGAAATTTGCACAGTCATGAAGTTTGATATGGCGGTACATCTTGGGGCAATATAAAGACGACAACCCGTGATAGATATGCCGAAAAAGGGGACTAGATTTCCTAAACCTGGATTAGCTCCTCTATGATGCAATTTCTAATGCGAACCAGTGAGTACGGAGTATTTGCACCCGTTATCGAACGATGAATCTGCTAGTGCGTTGACATTGATGAACGCTCTAAGTTGAATCAAATTCGGGTCATGTCGTTAAAGCCTCGCGATTCCGTTCCATGCGATTGTACGACCAGCTCCTACAAACGGGATCCAAGCCGATAGTGGCAAGCACCGACGGGCGGGAGAGTATCAGCTCAACTGGTGAACTCCCCTGTAGCCCGGAGGAAAGAATTATTTACGATTTCTATAGCTACCTATTTACCCATAGCAACATTTATTGTTGAGAAGATATAACCTCAGAGGCCGAACGATTGTGGGGTAATGAGGGAACTGATGATAATAATGCGCGGGAGTCGGTGGCTCGGTGAGCCAGCCTCTTCTGGTGAAACCATAGACATGTACTCCGTACGGAGTACGGAGTAGTAGTTAACGGAATGCACACCTAGTTACATCATATCGTGTATATAACTATGAATGCATGTCCATACATAGATACCACAGAACTCACTGAGTATCCCGTACTCCTTGCATGCCACGAATGTACATACATCCATATGTATACACAATAGGTCGCTGCCTTCCTAGGTACCAGTTAATTGACACGAACGTTACGTGGGATAGTTCGACTGCCGGATGTCAATTGTCGAAGGCGGCCACATTGTCACTCCGTTCCCAGAACCTTGCTCCACATCTCCTCCTCCGGGAAAAGAACCGTCGAACTCTTGAACACGACCTGTGAGTTAACTAGTGAAGTGGATCATGTTTGCCTCTTGGCCCAAACTTCGGGTGTTGGATCAGACGCGGCTGTTGTTGAGGGACGGCGAACTTTTCGCGAGCCACCGACCATCACCACTACCGAATTTCACTGCCAGGCATGTCCGATTCTAATCAAACGCGCATCGGCCACCATAACGGCTCTATCGTCTGAGTTAAAGTCAGGATGGATTGGCCATTAAATTTCTATCCTCCTTTCGGCCCTTCAAAGATATATTTATCTTTAAGTCTCTCATTGATCTCCTTCACATACCTGTAGAAGTATCCAAAAGGGAGACTCTACTTTCATTTTCGACATCTTTCGTTTTTTGTTCTATCCCAAATAAGATACCCATGTCTAAGCCTCAAGTTCACGTCGCTATAGTTGGGGCCGGCCTTGGGGGCCTGGCTGCAGCGATTGGCATAGCAAGGGCCGGGCACAAGGTCACACTTCTGGAGCAAGCTCCGGAGCTGGGGGAGGTACGGATAGCACATACCTCCGGGTCTGCAAGATCCTATCTCTTATATGTGACCGGATATTAACCTTTATTTCGTCTTATTATTTAGATTGGAGCAGGCATCCAAATCCCCCCCAACGCGTCCCTGATTCTCAAGCGGTGGGGTGTCCTAGACGCCATAGAAGAAGTCTCTGTTCGCCCGAAAGATTTTATCCTTCGTTCTTATCGGGATGGGAAAGTACTCTCAGTCCAAAATGTCCTTCCGTATACCGAAAACCGATATGGGACACCTTATCTCCATATTCACAGAGCAGATTATCACAAGATTCTTCTGAAGGAAGCGATAAGGCAAGGTGTAGAGATTCTACTTGACTCTACTGTGATAGGAGTAGATTTCGAGAAGCCAGCAATTCATTTGAAAGAAAAGCCTGATTTCCACGCCGATGTCGTCATTGGCGCTGATGGTCTTAAATCGGCGTGTCGAGAAGCCCTTCTTGGCCGGCCCGACCCTCCTCGCCTAACCGGGGATTTGGCATATCGAATTATCGTGAGGGCGGAAGACATGAGGAAACATCCTGAACTCTCGGAGTTCCTTGACCAGCCATGCATAAACTATTGGATGGGACCGGATGCTCATGCGGTGTGTTATTTCCTCCAGGGTGGTGGCCTATACAACATTGTTTTAATCTGCCCGGATAACCTTCCTGAGCTTGTGAATATTGCGCAGGCAGATCTGGAAGAAATGCGGGCTTTCTTTGAAAACTGGGACCCAAGGTTGAAGGTTATTCTTGATCTGGTCCAAGAAACCAAAAAATGGAGATTACAAAACAGTGTAGAAATGGCAACGTGGTGCCACCCGAGCGGAAAATTTGCATTGCTAGGGGATGCGTGCCATGCGACTCTTCCATACCTGTGAGCCTCCGAACATTCGCTGTTGTTTTTATTGGGCACTGACAGTCTATCAGAGCACAGGGAGCGGCGCAAGCTGTGGAGGACGGGGCAGTTCTCGGCACTCTGTTTGAGGAGCTCGATGACAAGGCTCAGCTAAGCGATCTACTCGCTATTTATGAAAAAATACGAAAATCGAGAACAACTCGGGTGGTCCAGGGAAGCACAGCTCTTCGGGACATTTTCCATATGCACGACGGCCCAAGCCAGGAGGAGCGGGATAGGGTACTCCTGAATGAAGCACCCTTCGAAGGATTCCCTAACCGCTGGGCGGATCCAGTTTTCCAGCAGTTCTTGTTCGGATATGATGCACGTGCCGAAGCACTACAAGCATGGGACGCATATAAGAAAGGGAAATCCCCCGAGTCCATAAAGGGAGTTGAATCTCGCCTGTGATCATACTGAGCGTTGCTATTTTTGGTTTTTTTTGTTTGCCTTTATGCAGGAATGCTGTATCATCTGTTCATAATTCTGTATATTGGACTGTTCTAGAGCCCTGAGGATCAGGATGCCTCAGAGAAAGGCCTTCAAATATTGTGCCTTGGAAGGCTTCTATAGATAATCTGAAAAGTATAGAGAGCATTTACACAACCTAGGCCATAAGAAATAGCTTCAATGAGCGCTGAGGTAGAAGCAGGACCTATTTTTATTTTGTTACCAAGGGCTTAAGAATCATATGGATCCTTCAATGAAATAGCGCTGCATTTAACTGTAAAGGAGGAGAATTGAAGCTTAAATACCCGAGAAATTCATAGTTGATGGTTATCAGGTTGTAACAACTATGATCACCAGATCACCCAACCGCGCCATGGCAGAGAAGTGCAGTTAATGCCGGACCTGTCAAACCCAGAAACACTCCCAGGTTCTCTTAAATAGTTACTAATGACTAAGCTGTTAACTAATGTAATCCACAAGCGAGCGAAAGATTAAATTAAGGCATGACAACTAACTAGAATTTAACCCGAAATATCTACACTCAACAAACCCTAAATAGATTAAATTACATTGCAATAGGACTACAGCAGCTTCTTCTTGTATGGCCTAAAATATGGCAGTTTGTATATCTTGATGATGCCTGTAAACATGATGCAGGCTCTGAGGCTGTGAACTCAGAGAGTTGAGTGACTAACTGTTCAACAGATTGAGTAGATGGAATAGCAAGCTCAGCAATCTCTTCCCTAGTTAGATCTTCTTCATATTGAATTTGGTGCTTAGATCCTGTATGCTTTTGCTTCTCTTTCTTATTTGCAGCAAATATATCCTGATATTGCTTCTTTATAATAGTGGTGTTGACCATTCCATATTCACAGGTCTTGATAATTTGGTCAAATCCTTTCATTAAGTCCTGGGTGAGCTCTCAAGCCCCTGCTCCATAAGATTCTTAATCTTATCCACCTGCCTATGCAACTGCTGGGGGCTGCTTGGTGTTTGTAGGATCCAGGATGACTGGGAGTTGCTGGATTAGCTAGCTTGGGAAGTAGAGGTTTGGAGTTGAATATCCAGCTGCTGAATAATGTTCCTATCCTCACATTTTACTTGCTTGTAATTATAGCATCTGAAATAGCAGCATTTGAGCCCTGTATGATGTTTAATCAGATTTAACATCCAGTTCTTGCCAACACAGGGGGAGGAGAGATAGGATCTTGTGTGGCAAGAAGATAATTAGCTATATTCTCAACAAATGCCAGTCTGGGTTGGATTTCTTGTTTAGCTAGGTCTAGGATTCATTGAACTAGCTGATTCTCTTCAGACTCAGTCAATTTGGTTGAATTTGTTTATAGACTAGTTCTTGCACATCTTCCTTTCACTTGATGATATATGGTAGTATAAGACACATTAAATAGCCATGTAGCTTCAGCAATTGAGCTAATTTCTTGCTTTTTAAGAGTAGAAATAGCAAGTTCAATCCTGCCCTCTATTTCTATAGAGGATCTTGCATTTTTATTGTAAATTGGTGGCATTCTGACACGTTGAAGTGGATGGTTGAGGAAATTGAAGAAATATCTTTCGCTCGCTTGTGGATTACGTTAACTAGCTCACCTAGTTAGTTAACTAGTTACAAGTTACCTAGCCATTTAACTAACAAGTTGGTCCTCAGGACTGCAGCACACTTTGAGAAATGGAGTCATTTAATTATCCATTTGGACCCTGTACTCTGTAGTTCACTGTGTGGCTTAACAGTTGATAGCTACTCGGTAATTAGTTTTCCTTTTGAGGTGGTTGAGGATGATCCTTTCTGCTGGTTAATTTCCCCTTGCAAATTATTGATAGGTCGCAGCTGTTAACTAACCAAATTAACTAACTGGTCAAGTCCCCAAGTCCAACAGTTAACTCGTTTGGTTATTCAGTTAGTTAACTACCCCTCCCCACTCGTCCATCTCCCTGATATTCGAAGCTAAGAACTGCTTCCTCATCCCACTCACATTCACCAGGTCGACCTCAATTCTTGCACCCTAGCTGGAAAAAGAAGGATTGATCTTCCTCGCGGGGTGTATCCCTAACCTTGGTGCACCATGTCTGTTTCGATACAGGAGCTGGATAACACTGTCCGAGCTTTCTACGAAGGCTCAGGCGATGTTGTATGTTTCTTCCCGAGTTGTCCTAAGACCCGAGCATTAACTGCAGATGCTAATGTCCCTTGATTCGATCAGAGAAAACAAGCGCAACAATCATTAACAGAGGTGTGACCAGCCAGTCCGAGGCAATTTTATCCCCAATCGCGCCGAGATGCTTACTTCTATCTACAGTTCAAACAAAACCCCGAGGCCTGGTTATTAGTGGGAAATATTCTACAAGAGTCGAACTATGTTCAAACAAAATGCAAGCAGCTGTAAAAGTTCATGCTACATTTTGAATTAGGCCACTAACTCCTCATAGATTTGGCCTTGCAGGTCTTAGACGATGTGATTATGACACGATGGAAGGTTCTTCCGCGAGAGCAATGTCAAGGTACAGCTTCTCCGATCGTTTTGGTTTTAGATATGCGTTGTTCACCTTTCCCCAGGTATCCGAAACTTCATCGTCAATTGCATCATTGAGCACTCCAAAACTGAGGAAAAGTTGAAGAGCGAAAGAGCATTTTTGAATAAACTCAACCTCGTCCTCGTTTCGATCTTGAAACAAGAATGGCCGCATAATTGGCCTACGTTTATTAACGAAATAATTTCATCTTGCCACACGAGTTTGTCCATCTGCGAGAACAACATGGCGATCCTTCGTTTATTGTCCGAGGAAGTTTTCGACTATTCCCAGGACCAAATGACTTCGACAAAGGCACGGAACCTGAAAACCACAATGTGTCAAGAGTTTTCTTCTATATTTCAACTATGTTCCGAGGTTCTTAATACTGCTACTCAAAGCAGCTTAATCAAAGCGACACTAGAAACGCTTCTCCGGTTTCTCAATTGGATCCCGTTAGGTTACGTTTTTGAGACACCTATCATCAATACTCTTCTCAATCGTTTCTTGGACGTGCCCGACTTTCGAAACGTAACATTAAAGTGCTTGACCGAGATCGGGAGTCTACAGGTTGGACCTCAATTTTCGTACGACGAGAAGTTGGTACAGATGTTTACGGAGACTTTGACAACTGTTTCCAAAATCATTCCCCTATCATTAGATTTAAGGCAAACTTACGCGGCTAGCAACTCCAGGGATCAAGAGTTTGTTCTCAACTTGGCACTTTTTCTCACAAACTTCTTTAGTGTGCGCTTACATGTGAGTAATTTATTTTATTTATTTATTTTTGTTTTCCTAATCTCCAAACAAAGCCAATCTGACCATGTACCAGCTTATCGAAAGGCTCCCCAATCTTGACTACCTGACTCACGGACATTTTTACCTCATCCGCATTAGCCAAATTGACGATCGTGAGATTTTCAAGATCTGTCTGGAGTACTGGACAAGACTAGTCCAGGAGCTATATGAAGAAATGCAGCAACTCCCAATAACGGATATCAACCCTTTAGTTAGCATGGGTGTGAGCGGTTTGTCAAATGGAGGGGCTCCTAATCCTAGCACTCTTGCCAATTATCCTCTTCGCAAACATAAATACGCCGAGGTCTTGTCGAGTCTCAGAACTGTGATGATTGAAAAGATGGTGCGGCCGGAAGAAGTGTTAATTGTCGAGAATGATGAAGGCGAAATCGTTCGCGAATTCGTCAAGGAGAGTGATACGATCCAGCTATATAAAACTACAAGGGAATGTTTGGTATATCTTACGCATCTTGATGTTGTCGATACAGAGAATATCATGGCAGACAAGCTAGCCAAGCAAGTTGATGGGACCGAGTGGTCATGGGCGAACTGCAACACTTTATGTTGGGCCATTGGGTCGATATCTGGAGCAATGAATGAAGAAACAGAAAAGAGATTCCTCGTCACCGTTATTAAAGATCTCCTTGGACTCACCGAAATGAAGCGCGGGAAAGATAACAAAGCAGTGGTGGCGAGTAACATCATGTACATCGTCGGACAGTATCCCAGATTTTTGAAAGCACACTGGAAGTTCTTGAAAACGGTGGTTAACAAGCTTTTCGAATTCATGCATGAAACTCATGAAGGTACGTATAGCGTCGGAACCCCCTGAATTTGGCTAACAAGGTTTGGTGAAAAAATAGGCGTCCAGGATATGGCCTGTGATACATTTATTAAAATTGCCAACAAATGTAAAAGGCATTTTGTTGTGCACCAGCCCGGCGAGGCAGAGCCCTTCATCGACGAAATTATTGGATCAATGAGCAAGATTACCTGCGACTTGTCCCCTCAGCAAATTCACACTTTCTATGAAGCTTGCGGCTATATGATTTCCGCCCAGGGTCAAAAGTCAATACAGGATCGGTTGATTGAAAACTTGATGTCATTACCAAATGCCGCGTGGGATAGCATTATAAATCGGGCGAACCAGGATCCTGCAACTTTGCAAGATGGGGAGACGATTAAAGTTGTAGGTAACATCATGAAAACGAATGTCGCTGCGTGTTCCTCGATCGGGAGTTATTTCTATTCCCAAATAGGCCGTATTTATCATGATATGCTGAACATGTACCGGGCTTCCAGTCAACTGATTAACGATGCGGTTGCGAGAGATGGCAAGTGACTCATGTTTTACTGTTTGATGATTTTTTGCTAACCTCTTGCAGGAAACATTGCCACTAAAACTCCAAAAGTTCGTGGACTTAGGACCATCAAAAAGGAAATTTTGAAGCTCATCGATATCTACGTTGAAAAAGCGGATGATTTGGACATGGTTAACACCAGAATGGTACCGCCACTTCTCGAAGCTGTCCTAGTAGACTATAATCGAAATGTGCCAGATGCTCGAGAGGCAGAAGTTTTGAATGTTATGACTACCATTATTCATAAACTTCATGTGCGTATTTACCCTCTCACGATAGAGCATTGCCGCTAACAACATCACAGAATCTCATGGAAGATAAGGTTCCAATCATTATGGAGAGCGTCTTTGAATGCACTCTCGAGATGATTAATAAAGATTTCCACGAGTATCCGGAGCATCGTGTCAGCTTTTTCAAGCTTCTCCAGGCTATCAATCTCTATTGCTTCCCAGCCCTCCTTAAATTGGACGCCAGCCAGTTCAAATTTGTTATCGATTCTTGCATGTGGGCTAGTAAACATGATAACCGAGAAGTGGAAAACACTGGCCTTACCATGTGTCTTGAACTAATGAACAACATGGCAGAGACTGACCTACAAACGTCAAGCATTTTCTTCCGTCAATTTTACATTCCCATTTTGCAGGATGTTTTCTTCGTTCTCACTGATACGGATCACAAAGCCGGTAGGTCAATGAGAAACCCTGAGTGTGGGAAGCTCGACTCACATGGTTCTATAGGTTTCAAGTCTCAAGCGATGCTCCTTTCGCGCATGTTCTTCTTCGTTACTACCAATAAAATCCAACAGCCCATCTATTCCCCTGAACAAGCACCTATGGGAACTTCAAACAGAGAATTTTTACAGGAATATGTGGGAAGTTTGCTCCAGAGTGCCTTTAAAAACCTTCAAGAGTAAGTCGAACGCATCGCTCTGGTCAACCGCCACATCTGACATTGACCGCTCTAGGGTGCAAGTAAAACAGTTTGTTCAAGGCCTATTCACTCTGAACGATGACTTTGCGAAGTTCAAGACGCATCTGAGAGACTTTTTGATTTCACTAAAAGAGTTTGCCGGGGATAACGCGGAGTTGTATGCTGAAGAAAGGGAACAAGCCCTTAGAGAAGCAAAGGCTGCTGAAAGAGACCGGGCAATGAAAGTGGGCGGTCTCTTAAAACCGGCGGAGATGGACCAGGAGGATGAACTTTGACTCGACGAGGAGTTGCGGACAGAATTTGAAAGGTCCGCCGATCGCTGTGCCCATCGCTCGCGGACATCGTATTCAAAGGGTTTTATCTTTGATGGGTGGGAGCTCTACGGTGTCTAAAACCCCATTACAACACAAATCCAGATTAAACCCAGGCTTGGACCGCTTTCGAAGTGCCCCCGCTTGTTAGCTACCCGCCTCCGCCGCACAAGCAACGACGAGCGGTAATGCCTCGCTTATGAGGACGTGATAAGCTACTATTTTAAGAGATCAGGAAACCACAAAATAGGGAGACATGTGTTTAATTTTGAGCAGTGTATCAATATTGTCCATCCACTTGTATTGTTGGATGTATCCACATTGCCATTTCCATTTGTTGGCACAGCTCAACACTGTGATAGTGCTGACCTTGGAGGCTGTAGATATTCATATTTCAAGAATATCAATTTAAATCAATGGTATTGGATGTCGGAACTCCACATGTACTGGGACCGGCCCGTCATTTCCTTTTTTTTTTTTTTTTTTTTTTTTTTTTTTTTTGGTGCTTCACGGGCCCAGTTTCGCATATGAAGTACTTCATACAGTCTCCATTTTGGAGAATAAGGCGGCCACGATTTAAAGTGGATTTTATCTTAGGACATGCATTCCTAGGAACAACCATTGATATGAACTGCATACTCCATACCAGATAATATACAGAGGACTCCGTGGTCAACTACCCATGCAGAGTACCCCGTCGTAGGCGCGGTTTATTAACTTTGGACTCTTGACGGCGCCATGACAAGTATGATTTGCAATTCTTGGTGAATGGTGCAAGTGATAACGGGTCAAATATAGTTACAGGATAGAATCTTATCCCCAGAATACTCCGTATTGAAGCTTATGTTCATGTCACGCAAAATGCAACGAGATTCAAATTGATTCCACCCAATTTCCCCGGATACGGAGTATTTTGGCAATGAATCGTCTTAAACTTGATCCCTGATCCCTCTTCAGGCAATAGGGCAACGACCGGGCCGCCGCGGTTCACTCTTCTCGGTTTCGAGCCGGGGCAGGACGTAAGCCGCGACGATGCAGCAGGTTACTGGAATAGTTTTTGAGGCCATATTGGGCTGCATTGCGGTAAAAATATCATTCAACACCTCGTTGGGCCCTTCTCCTGCGAGCACTCACTGAAAAGTGGTCATACCCGCGGCCTCGGTTTGGGACGCTTGACTTCCTGTCTGTTTTGTTTGGACATATTAAATCAAGACTTGGCACCAATGGCGGGCTTCGATGATTTCGAACCAGATCCTTCCGAACAATTTCAAGACCCGCGTTGGAGTATCACGAGGCGCCCTCTGCAGTACGGCGAACAATCATTCGCCCCCGTCAAATCCGGAAATGTAAAGTGAAGTCTGGACTCCCATTTTTCTATTATTGGAAAATCAAGGCCGCATGTGTGCCGACATCGACCCTCCACACTTTGCTGGCTAACCACATATATATTAGAATACGAACACGGCTGACGGGAGTTTGAAGCAGTTCCCGTGGCTTCGCGTTCTGCCGCCTGCACTGTATTGCATTTGAAGGCGCTTTAGCCGACCGAGATGCGCGGAAGCGATGGTCTTCATTGAGGTGCAGGACAACTTGACTGGTCCAGGGAAAGACAAGGTTTCCCCTTGGAGGCATCATCAAGTTTCCCCCCCACTGGATGGTGTGCCCGTCAAAGCCTGACCCGTAACCAGTGGATCAGGTTACATTTCTCAGCTGGTGCTTTTCAAAACTCATTGACCGTCCTCGTATCCAGGAAGACAAGGAGCTCGGTTCCTGCTGATAAAAGCATGAGCCAGACAGCTATAAATCGAGGCTCCTTCCTTCGCAAGTTGGTAAAGGTTCGACATCATCAACAGCGATATTTGCCTCGATTCGACACCGCGACACGAAGTCCATTCTTCCGCAACAGCTCCGCTTAAAAGACGGTCCCATAGTTTGTGCCCCAGTCCGGACTCTAGATATTGTCCTGGGTTATTTCTGACAAAACCACAGGAAAATATGAAACTCACTGCGGCTGCTCTACTTTCTTCCCTCGCTTTCGCCTCAGCGTGGAACCTGGATCTTTACACCACCGACAAGCGCCATGTCAAAACGCACGGAACCAGAGACTCCGGCTGTAAGAACATCGAGTTCCACCCTGCGCTCAAAGTTAACCGTGCAAATTTCCGTCCCGCAACCAATAACTGGCCTGACCCAAAGACTTTCGAGCTTTATGCCAGTAAGAACTGCAAAAAGTTGAGCTACCGTAACGGCAAAGGCAATCACAAGATGTCCGCCAGAACCATTCGCAGTTACAAAGTCTACTAAGAAATTTCACAAGGCCATCAAGGCAGCCTTCGCGTACGGGCTGAACAGCATGATGGGTGGATGGATTGCCTTCAATGCTGGTGGCAGTGGCGTCATATGTCATTAATGTAGTTGGGAATCTAGATTTCTCTTCTCAGGCAGAGGGTCCTGTATTTCATTCTCAAAGTTGTCAATTTCCTAAATGTATACTTCTTCATTCACCAAAAATATCTCAAAAACCCCTGATAATTCTATCTGGTTGCTGTTGCAGACACGGCGGCCGGCGTACTCTGAACTTTGTACGTAGTACTCCGTAGACATGATGGGAAAGGGGCAAGTATTAACTTACTGTCGCACGCACACTTAACTAGTCACCTATGAAGTTTTCAATCTGTATTAACTAAGTTACGGAGTACTCCGTAGTCAGCCTAACCAGTTAACTAGGTTAACAGTCCATGGACGGAGGACCTGGTCCGGGATTTTAGCTCATTAGTTAAGCTCATCAGCCTTTGGGATGGCTGCTTATCACAACAACAACTAATGCTGCCAAGGGCCCCAATGCGGAACATTCTCACCACACCTGTTCTTTTGTGATAATCAGAGCCTTTGAACCATTTGCTGATTCACTCCAAACCATCACCAATAACTTCATTGTCCCCGCCTCTAAAATAGTATCGAAACATATTATCCACCTTGTACCAGGGAAAATCTAGCATGGCGCGAACAAGACCTCCAAACCCGCCCGCCCCTAGTATAACTGCTACCCATGTCGAATCCTCCAACATCCAACAGACAAGACGGGGAATACCGATTACTGGAACCCTAAGGCTACGAGGTGAGGCAACGGCCACAGAGGAGAGCCCTGCCGAACGGAGACATATACGATGGGCTGAAGACGTTGTCGACAACGAAGGACAAGGCAAAAAGAGCTCAAAAGGTACATAATCCCACCTAGGAGAAATATGCGCTTGAAGACCTTCGATCCCTTTTTTTTAAACTAATAAAACTTCTGGGTCCAGTCTGTTGCATATATCATAAGCCCCGAGAGGTTGGCGAAAGCAGTTCAGAGTCAGATTCTTCCGACTCCGACTCTTCCGAGAGCAATAGCGACAGCGAAATCGATAGTGGAGAAGCAAGAATGACCAACAGCCGCTCTCCGAGACGTCATTTACACAATCATGATCATGGTGGCAGTGAGCATTCAGGTCACGGCAGAAAACGACCAAAAACGAAACCAAAGGTAAACGCTTATGAGCGGGTGCCGAAGTATAACGAAAAACGGGAAGGCACTGGGAAAGGCCCTTGACAGGTTCTGGAAGTATAGTGACGATAATGGATTTACGAACCACTACTTTGGCATTTAGTTTACATATGAAGAATCGCGACATATATTATGGGATGATTATTCGTGTGGGGGGACATTTTTGACTGATGATCATCTCGTTGAAACACGCATTACGGCGGAGTCGGTTTCCTGCGCTCTCTATAGCCTATCCACCCCGGCATACGCGAACCCATTTTAGGATGTCCCGAGTTTGTTGCTATAAAGGGAAGTTGGGAACTTTGTCAATGGAACATTGAGGCTTGATGAGAGATGACGTTTAAAATGTATATAATATAAATAGGTGCCCTTAGACCATCATACTCCGTCTCCTAGTGGCAGGGCCGCGTTGCAAGCGCGTTGAGTCGATTGGGGTTTTAGCATAGCCAGCCGCAGTCTCCTCCGTGGAGAACTCAAACATCCCTTCAGCAGGTGGTGTTTTGTTGTACATATCAGTCCTCGTCGTCAAATCGGCATGGCTAGCATCAAGTGATGGGTTTGACGAGTACCTCCGTGTTTCACTTCGCTTTTTTGTCTGGCAACGCTTTTTACTTCCCGCAACAAGAGTTGAAATAGCAATGCTAGATGCTGATTGCCCGTTATGGTAATCCCCGTCAGGATGGGCGGAACATCCCTCCGCCATTTGTTCATGATCGGGTAATTTTGTTGGCGGATCCTGGGGCGCCTGGACGGGATTGTTATTTATAGTGTCACCTTCTTCGGGCGTTTGGAAATGTTCGGGCTGCGATCTCGAAATACGCCGAAATCTGTCTTCCCCAACGGCATCAACAAGCTCCTCTGTGGGGCGTCTCATTTTATCTCTGAGGTTTGGCTCGGCATAGCTCACAGGTCCTCTTGATCGTCTAGACTGTCTAGTCCTTGTATTTGCAGATGCTTTGCCGTCCGTCGGACCCGGCTCTGGGAGTATGTCTGCGCTTTCGGATGTTGCAGCGCGATCGACCATATTTGGGGTAGCAACTGGTGGGTTGGTGTCTAAACAGTGGCCCACTTCCTTGGGTGAACGGGCTCCCTTTATGGGTGCCTTCGGGTTGAATTCAGATAAGTTAGGTTCTAAAACGCTAGACTTTAGCTTGTCGAAACTGCCGCGCTCGTCCTTTATTGTCCTGCTACACGGTGTTCCATTGATCTGTGTGAAATGTCGTTTTCCTTCACCTCTCAGCTGAACTTTTTCTGAATCAGTTTTAACCGGTGACCTTAGGTTTGTGTTTGTGCTCTCTGCAGCAAATGGTTAAATATTTGCCAAAAATATGTGAACAGTGAAGGGAAGATACACTTACTTGGTCCTAAGGCTCGACGCCCAGGCTTCTTTTCCCCCACAGGTTGCCTTTTGTGTTTGAAGACTCTCTGTATGGGTTGGTCCTCGCTACGGATATCTATCTCCTGTGGCAGGTCCTCGGATGATGCATTTAGGCGGGTGAACTGAAAATCATCTTGACAGTTGGAATGCGCTGAGCTGGGCTCTCCCTCTTCCTGTACATCGAATTTTCGTTTGGATCCGGCCCTTGGAGGTATATGGCCATATCCATCTGGGTCTGTAAACCGCTCAGCGTTGGGAAGAATATCTTGTAGAAACGAGCTATCTCTACGTTTCCTTCGCGGTTCAAGGGCCGGCAATTTATTTTGGGACAATAAATTGACCTTGGAGCATTTACTGCTCTCGGGTGATTTCTCTGCGAAGAAAGGACTGGAAACATTAGCAGGAAGAGATAAAAGCGACCCTGATATCGAACAAGGTAGCGTGTCTTCTTGCAGTTGATCGTTTATTGGTGATTCGGGAATTTCTTCAACCCTGGGACAAGTCAGACAAGCAAGTTTTGGTGTGGAGCAAGGCAGGCGTGTTTTCTTACTCAGGAGTTAACCTCGGAAAATATTTATCTTCGCAGATGACAGGAAGTCTATCTTCGTCTCCTGTCGAGACAGTCTTTTCAGGCTTCACATTTTGTCGGCAACAGGAAGGAGACCGCAAGAAATCAGAACTATGCGATTCCTTTGGCGTAATAGGGTGTGCCCTCCGAGGCAACGAACCAAGATCGGTAACCAAAATGGATAGCTCGGCTAGTTTTGCTTCAAGTTTCTCTTTGACAGAGAACAACTGGTTACCGAAGCGCTGACTACCCTGACACTTCTCAACTTCCCTATTCAGATAACTAATTTCATCGCGAAGGGCAACGTTTTCGGTAAGGAGTCGGGACACTTCGGATTCAAGGGTTCTTATCCGCGCGGATTGAATTGAGTTTGCTCGGGCAATTTCCCTATTCTGTCGAATAAATCGTCGCTTCACTAATGGAGTTGTTTAGTACTATGGCGTTTCGCTCGCAATTTCTACACTCACAAGATTCAAGAGACTCCGTTGCCGGAGGAAGATCGTTGAGGCGGGCCATGGAATTGTGGTTCTAGAAGCAGCCTTCCTGTAGCAGGTATAACACCCTTCTATTCGAGTCAAAAACAAGATGGCAACATGTCAGTGAACCGGCCAGTTGAGATTGTCGGGATGTTGTGCTTCTTGGATTGGCGAAGTTGGACTTGTTCGGATGGGTTTGAGGAGAGCAGAGGTTTGTTGACATTTAACTCTTTGTGGTTAGATCATCCCCTAGCAGAAGCTGCCGGAGCAACCCGCTGATCTCGGCAAGTGCTGCGTTTTGTCACCAGAGCAGGCTGCTTGTCGCCAGCGATCACAGAATGTGGCTTTCAATCCTGCCGTCGAGAAAGTTGAAACCTTGATTTGCGCATTATGGCCCATGGCCCGCAGCCGACCGGCATGTTCGGACCATCTGCCGGGTCATCCTTACGACAGCCAAACGGCCTGTCTAGCTCGTCTTCGCAAAACTCGTCCATTCTTGCTGCCCGAGTCGCCGCTAAAAAGGCTGAGCTTGAAGACCTTGTACAGCTGCGCGATGTCAGTAGCGCGTTGGCGACCCAAATGGAAGTATTAAACGGGAAACTTGAAACACTACGTGATGGCACAGAAGGTTTGTCATTTCAATCCTTGCGTTGCTGCAATGATTGAGACATAGACCCTGTATTCGATAGACGTTGGCCGCACACGTTAACCATTGACATGGCGTTGTACTTTAGCTGTTGCTTGTGTTATGGCAAATTGGGAGAATGTGTTGAGGGCTATCAATATGGCGTCGGGTGAGTAAACGGGTGAACAGATTTTGACCTCCTTTGAGATAACTAATGAAACCCTTTCGTTCGTCTCAGCGACAATGACTCGGACCAACAACAGAGCTGTTGAATCAACACATCAACAGGGCAGCATTGACAACCCTCAGGGGTCCTCCCTCCCCGCTCCGCTAGTGCGCATCCCAGCTGAACCGCTGGAATCAACTCCAGGAAACGAGCCTTAGAGATTGGTAATGATACCCCGAGAACAAAAAGGGTCAGGGTATGCAATTCTTTCTCCGATAATATATCTGGGGTTTTGGAGAAGAGTAGGCAGCGTCGGACGGACCGGCTCCCTATATCGGTGCATGATCCTCACATATTAGTTACTGTGCCTAGCGCCCTGGTTTCGTTCTCCTTTGACTACCCTCTATGGCGGGATACGCAGTTCTTCCTGTTGGTTCAATTGTCGCATTAGCGCTACGTACACATCCAACACGTATTAGATTTATCAAAGGAGAATATGCAACTTGGCTGTCGAGCGCGTCAGGACAGCTCGATAAGCGATATTAACCCCAACGCGCGAGAAAGAAGTCTAGAGTTAACCTACAATGAGACGATAGTTAAATAGGTAAAGTCTCGGGCCAAGTTGCAACGGTCCACGCCCGCTCAGGGTGGAGCCTTTTGAAATTAAACCGCAATCCCCTGGTAGTTAAAACACTGATTCATGGATTGAGCCGAGCCTTCAAAATGAAAGGTGTCGTTCTTGACTACAAATACCCCGTGCGTCTCCCCTGCTAGCCCTTGTTCCGTTAACCTTTACATCCCTCTTAAAGAGTTGTTGATGTCGTATTTCCAATTAAGGAGCGAGACGGACGTGTATTTTGATGACGCGCCCCCAAGACCAAGCCACCAACATATCAATAAACCTACGATGGCAGAATCTGGGCAATGCCATATTATGTAGGTGACGTTTACAAAGTTACAAAGAGTTGATACCATAGCCAATGATGCCTTTTGGCAGATCGCGTGGCGTGTTGTTGTTGAAACCGCGTTCGCGTACACACCAATCTTGGGGGGTTATAGACAAACACCTCTCTCGCAATTGAGGAAGTTTGACGGAGATTCGCGCGCAGTTTTGATAAGCAGGTTATTGCTGACCTGGCCGTTCATCCTCCAGCAAAGAAAACCACGCGTTTCCCGAGAAGACACCCGTCAGGGAAAAAGCAGGAATAATAAAACCCGAAACCCAGCAGCAGAAGAGCTCGACTCCACTGCGGCAAGCACGACCAGCTTGAAGTCACTTTTCTTTGCTTTTTATCAATCGAGGTATGCGGCTCCCGTGTCTATTTGCTCTCCCCACGCCCTTGGACTCCGCCCCTCTGACTGACCTCGTAGGCCGGCATTTTCTGCTTATAGTCTAACCCGGAATAGTCCCGGAACCTACATCAATGCAAACGGAAGCTTTGGAGCCTGCCCTCGGGACTCCGAGATTCGATCCCGATGTGCACAAGAGTCCGAGAGAGGATGGCCCAACGAGCGGTGAAGACTCCTTTGTTAAATCAATTATCACTGGCTCTCCCCAGAAATCCTGCACCCACAACACTTGGATGGATATAAAGTGGGACGCGCCACCTGAATCCAATTCACGTGTCTCTCCCAGCGATTTAGCACAAATAAAAGATCCCCTTGATGCTATTGACGCTCTAGAGGAAGCCCTTGAAGAAATCGGAGAAGCTTTACCGACAGCTCAATATCATGGTCTCGATTCCCCCCAAAGAGGGGGTACCCCGGTTGAAACTAGCAGGAGCCAAAATGGAGAGACTAACCACACGGTTCCCAATTGTTCAAGGAAAGAGACCACCAGCCTCGCGATATCGGAGGGGTTGTCATGCATGGACGGACCTCCCAAAGATGCAGGTGAAAATGCGAAGCCGAAGACTCCACGACAAGCACCAAGCCGAGCACCCGAGCAAACTTGCGAAACACGAACGTTGTCGAATTCCAAACCCAGCAAAATCTCTACTAACTGCACGGGTCCCAAGGTAGCAGACCGCTCGGTTGGCGAAGCTCTCGCTGCAGGTCAACTTGGTCACACCCCAGCCAATGTGCCGAAGACTTCTAAAACCGAACAGTCCAAAGCGAACCGACTTAGCATCGCCTCACTTAGTACCTCAAAGCCAGGGTTTACACCAGTTAAGTCCACCAAACCCCTCACTAAACCGACCTTCGAGTTACCGGGCGAGGCCATTTCACGGCGCATGAAGGCTCAGCGAGAGCAGCGTCTTAAAAAAGAGGAAGAAGAATTACAGCGCAGACGGGCCTTTAAGGCTTCCAAAATTCGATACAGTATTGTTCCATCTACTGAAGTTAGAGAAACCATTACCAGCCGCTCCAGGGCGAACCTAAGTGCTGCTGAGAATTCTCACAAAGCTCCAGCCCAGGCAGGTACAAGATTGAATTTTTCAAACTCAGCGCAAGCGAGCCCTACAGATAGAACCTCCCTAAAACACACTGGATCCGATGAGCGCCTTGGACGGCGGACGAGTTTTGCGCCCCCAAGAACGCGTCATTCGTCGGTGAACAGTGACCTAATCTCGCGCTCCTCCAGTTTGAAAGCTGTGTCCAATCTTGCCGGGACAAACGGGGCCCAGACCAGAAATTCTATGACCTCTACAAAGACCCCAGCTACAAAGACCGATCACATAATACAGAAGTCCCGAGGGAAAGAAATATTCGGACAGGATCGTCAATTGGTACAGGAACGTGAGCGCGAGCGTAAAGAAAGGGAAGATGCTGCTAAACGTGCCAGAGCAGAAGCAGCACAGCGTGGAAGACAGGCAAGCCGCGAATGGGCAGAGCGACAAAAGCAAAAATCCAAGATTGTCAGAGCGAGCCTCAATGCCTGAAGTCCGATCAGTGGGGCCGGCAGGCGGATTAGGTCCAAAGTACGAAGCGAAAGATTGGCGGTACTTATCTGGAATCCTCGCCCATTAAGCATGTATGAATTCAAGCCCGACTGTGTTTTTTTGATAAGGATCTACAGGCGGTGTGCCTGGACGATACCGTGGATGAACATCACTCACATTCTTGTAGTAACCAGTGCCTGAATTTTGTTTTCCTGCTTTTTCCTTTTTACCACCACCTCCCTAACCAGTTCGAGTTATTCAACTGTTAGGGTACGAAGATAATCATATGTTTGTACTGCTACTACGCTGCTCGTGTTGCAAACTACCCTCTCTCTTCTTTTAAAAAACACATTCTCTCTGTCTGTTGATTCTACTGTTGGCATGCTGCAAATGTATTTGGTCCTCTTGTCTTCAAAAAGAAAGGGTTTTTTTTTTGGGGGGGGAGGGTTTGGTTTCATGGTGCGGGTATGTCCAAAATGATTGGGGGTTTTTCTAACGTCCGGAGAGACTGCTTTCGGTCACCTCATCCATGACAGATGACCGAACTACTTTTATGTCCGGCAGTGTTCATGAAATATGAGTATGGAAACCCAAGTTCAAGCGTTACTAAATTTCAGTCAGCTTACTTTTCCCATCTTCCAACTTGTGCAAAATCAACGGAACTTACAATTCATCATGCAATATCAAATCTATACCTCTAACACCTCGCATCCTCAAACGAGAGTATATCAAGCCTTCAAGTTCCGGGCTAGGTGGCCGAGATTTGAAGGAAATTTAATTATTTTTATTTTTATTTTATTTTATTTTTTTTTTTTTGGCCAGGTCTATGTACGAGACCGAGCTCTCCGGCGACGAAGTCGGAATGGTGGCTAGGAGACCACCCCCTAAAACACCACACGCTCATATAGAGCATGCAGCATTTCCAGAGCGTCAAGATTCTGCAGAGTGCAGAGTGTTTCCGTAACAACGGTGGGCTATACACCAAGCTGCATTTGATACTAGGCTATCCAAAGGCCGGCACGCGGAGACTTTTATGGAGACAAGGAGATAGGTCTAATAAGTACATATTTTCGCTCATGATCATACCGCTAAAGTCATGGACCTCTCTTTCATATTAGCAAAAATAATTAGTCCCTTGTGAGTTTTTTGGATTGAGCAAATTACAGCAAAGCAAAATATGTAACCATCGTTAGGTCCAGCCCCTATCAATGGGGGTATAATATCTTGGGCCGGATGATTTTGACCATATTGGAGATCGGAGTGGAAGCCTCCAATATTTCGCATGCGGCGAATCTCAAAACGAATGAATGGGTAAATTGACCCCATCTACGGAATAGACCAGGAGGACAAATGACATTCATGTACCATAAGCCGACTGCATTCTACAGCTTAGGGGGTGAAAGACCGGAAACCGATGGCTTCTAGCCCTAAATTACGATGCTCAAGTCCATCAAAGACTTGTCAATGCTCTCCATAACGAAGGTGGGCAATGCAAATAGAAAGAGAATTTTCGGTAGCCAACGGAGGTGTTACTTTAACAGAGCAGGAATTTCGACGGCACCGGGTGCCCAAAAGTTATGCAGTGTGTTATTTCCTATGACATTTATCATGAGAATGGAGAGGATTGTATGTAGAATGCAGTGGAAAGAGCATGCAGAAAGAGGTAATGACCCAAATCGATCCAGCGCAGCAAGCTTCTGACCTGCTGGAAACCAAGCAGAGTTGAGGCTGGGAATGGCAGTTGAGAGAGTTGGACGTGAGTACGGAGCACTCCATACAGTTATCAAAATAGGCTTGAAAAGACAACCTCGGAGCGTTCCTACGTGGAAGTCGGGCTAGCCTAGATTCTCCCTTGATGAGAAGAAGAAGGACATGAGGCAAACGAGATTTGAAAACAGTGGGTGATATCATCGCAATTCTTGCAGCGAAAAGCATTTGCCACCTCGGCTGCAAGCGGTGGACATGCGAGACAGACGGCCCTTTTTTTTTTTTTTTTTTTTTTTTTTTTCTCCCTTTAAAAATTATTCTTCTCGTATATGCCCGTCGCTCAATCGTGGCTTAGTGGCTTCCACACAAGGACTTGGCGGTGCGCCTCTCCACGAGACTCAATCAGACGACACCGTTCACCAGCCCTATGCACCCTTGACGAAAGTTAAAAGAAGCTTTCATGAGGCGAACTCGAAATTTTTTTTTTTTTTTGTCGTCGTTAAAAATTCTCTTTCCGACCAGGATTGTCTCTGGCTTTTTTGCAAAAGGACGAAAAGAGCCCCTCTCAAACCAGCGCGACCACACGGATGTAGGATTCCAACGCCATCTGAGTGAGACCCTGAGATGTATCGTGTTGCAAAACCAACAATCGTGAGGGACGCTCCACGCACAGCTTAAAAAGAAAACTTTCCGCCAAATATGTTAGTTACAACATGGTTCGAGCTGAGCAAGTTACACAGGCACCACCATTTTCCCCAGTAGTTATTGGAGCGACCGCCGACACGCACCCCCCAGCTGGATACCTGGACTTTTGTAGTAGAACCCTGGCGATCCTCATGACCTGGAATTTGGCCCCAAAAGCGAACGGGAGAACGATGTTTGTATATCACAAATGTACATATGTATGTTTATATGCATGTCCTGTACATACGTACATACTTATTGGACAATGTATCCATTGTTCCAGATTTTCATAAAAACAATTGTTCAGTGTAATGTTGAGGTTTGAGAAGCAAACACCAATGGTAAGCGCTGAGGCCTGCACAAGGTCCTTAGTTGAATACTTTTCTTCAATATTTTTTTCTTTTCTTTGCACTGGTTGGGTAGCCAGACCCATTTTCCTTTGTCTTGATGAAAAACTAACATTTGTTTGATCATCTGTGAGGATCCATAGTGGTCTTGCTCCAATTGTTCCAGATTTCAGCAATGCACTTTCACACAGGGAGACAGGCAATTTATCAACAGGGAATAAGATGAGTGAGTCGAATCGTGGTGTCTGGAATTGACATGTCATCATACATACAAAAGATACATTCTCAAATCAAAAAGCTCATCAGGCACCAAAGGAAGAAAAAAAAAGCAGCCAAGTGCAGTGCACGCACAAACTTCCATTCCCCCTTTAACCATGGTGGACCTAGCCAGTAAAATCTAAACAACAAACAAGTGAACACCAGACCTATTGCCCTGACATCCACCAGGAGTGTTTCGCAAAAAGCAACCAAAATGCTCCCTGTTTGTCCCACTATGGATTGAAATCCCGCCTTGAACCTTTTCCAAGGTACAAAAATACTTTAGCAAGGGTGGAGAAAAAAAGGTAAAGAAAAGAAGCCTTTCCATGCGCCTCAGAAAAGTTCTCCTTCTGGACTCTTCTGTCTTCCATAAAACCATTTCCCCCCCAAGTCACTTCCAACATTTGTTTGAATGGAGGAATTTCAGAAAATTTTGCATAAGATTGAACAGAGTGTAGAATAATCCCAACCAACATAAAATGGTTATAACGCCGGCTTGAATGCTGCATGGATGATGCTAAACACAAAAACATTTTTGCCCAGATTTTTTTGATAAATGCTTAACATGTTGAAAGAAAAAAAAAAAGAGGCCTCCCTGGAGAGTAAAAGATGACCGTAGGGGAAAAAAATAAAAAATAAAAAATAAAGAGATATCGAACAGTAGAGGAGAAGCGCGAAAGAGAACCCGTAATCTCGTAGAACACAGTAATCGAAGCTTAAATTGCAGCGAGCCCTGTATCATGCTTTTGTGTCGATATCAGGTTCGGGCGATGGAAAAAAAGAAAAGATATGTATAGATATTATCTTATAATGCACATTTGGCGGATAAGGGTTCGTTCAAGAAAGGGTCAAGCGTCGTTTCCAGTCACGAACCTGGTCGAAACAACCAGCGTATTCTTCCAGTTCGGTTTTGGCTTGACCAGATAGAGGGATAGAGGTTGAAGAGGAGCTGCTTAGCGACGAGAGGGAGGTTTGCGAAGAGGTCGGAGATAGGGTCACTCGGGAGGACTTGGAAAATATATTTGAAATGGAAGACAGTGCCGTGTGAACTCGCTGGGTGGTGGGCGTAACGAAATTGGAAGGAGCACCGAGTGGTTGATTTTGCCCATTGTCCTGGTTGAAGACCGTCCAGGGCTGGCTGAGGCCCGTTGTAGATGTTGGAGACGAGGGTTCTGACTCGGACGTCGAGTATTGATCTATCTCTGCGAGCCGGCAAGTCTGAGAACAGTAGGCTCCCCCGAGAGTTTGTCTGTCACAGACAATGCAAAAGTCGAGAGACCAATCGGTAGACATTGTGGGTTGATTCTGAGGTCGGAGGGAGCGGATAGAAATCCTTTTTTTTTTTTTTCTTTTTTGAGAAAATATTCTTTTGGCTGGTGGCTTATCGGTTACTGCCCCAGGCACCGAGAGAAGAAGCAGGATATATAGCAAGTGCGTGGGGAGGGAGGGATGTTGTGGTCACGGTTCAGGTAGAAGCAGGACGAGGACGAAACGATGACACGAAACCGGCCGAGATTTGACTGACACAATGAAAGAAAAGGATGTCGAAAGACAGATCACAAGGTAGAAGAAAGGATGGGAGCGGGGGGTTTTCTGAGGAACTCGTGATTGAAAAGAATGCGTCGAAAGTGAAGAGTGATATGGAGAAAAAGTGGTGTGATGTCTAGGAGGGTCCTCGAGAGAATGTAGGGCGGCTGTAATACTTTTTGAGGACAGGGAAAGGTAGAACACCAAGGTACACACAATCAAGAGAAAAAGAGGTTTTAATGTGGATTATTATTGTGCATGGTTTTGTTTTTCGAGAAAGGGCGTCTCTTTAAGTTCGAATTAGGGGACTTCTCAATCGTTCCTCCACCTTCCCCCCCTTGGCCGTGGGTGCTGGGAGTTTTACATCCACGCAGGCTGATCATCCCGGAAGCTTCGAAAAATTGGGTCAACAGGATGAGGCCTGGTCTTGGGTTGCCTGCTAGTCTCAAAGTCTGGTTTATTTTATTTTTTTTTTTGGTCTTTTTTTCTTATTTTTGAATTTTGAATTTTTTGGCCCAAAAAAAAAAAAAAAGGAGACCCGACGGGAGCAAAAAATAAAACCGAGTTTGACGTATGGAATCACAGAGAAGCGTCCATGTGTCTAGCGTTAGAGGCTAGCGCTGGGCCACCATTCGCCCAATTTTCCTGGCTCTTTTGAGGCACACCCACCCAACCCAGGGAAATTTTCCCTCTTGTCAAAACAGCGGCAAGAGTGGGCCGGGAGGGGTAAGGTGGACATGATTGGGCTCAGGGGGCGGCGCGAGGGGGATGAGCAGGGGACAGGGCGGCGTTGAGGGGGGCCTGTCCACTCAGCGCCAGCCGTCGATTACCGCTAAGCCGTGCTGTAATTACAGAACACTTGCAGCCGCGTCTGTGCACCCGCCCCTAGCCTGTCTGGGAATGGTGGGCCTGCGCTCCCGACGTGCCAAGTGGGCGAAAATCTCTGGAGTGGCGTGGCTATCTCGGATGAGGAATGGCGCCATTGTGGGGGATCTGAGAGTCACCACAAGCGAAAGCTCCCACCCCCTCAAGAAAGTACCGTACCGTACGGTATGGACAGAGGAATTGTCACAGCAATTACTCCGTCCTGCGAGACACTTCTTTCCTGTCTGCACCCACTTCCAGGGGAGGTTGTTAGTTGATTTGAAGCCTAAAGCCGATCAGCCAACTTGGGTCATCATCCTCGACGTTAAAACCCTCGCAGATCAAATCGCTCTAATGGCCCATCAGCCTGGCGTCATCACTTCCTTGTCGTGGAAGACAAATTTCTCTCCCGTCCTGAACCCTCAGGGAGGTTGCAACGAAGACAACCGATCTCAAAGGGGAGACAAACACCTGCTTGCAGGATGGTATTGGCATTGCGTATGATACTGAATACAGTACTCCATGTTTCCAACACCAGGTCATGCAGGCTGAACCTTCTGCTGCATGCAGGGCCTGTCTGGCTTCGTCGCCCGTCTGAAGGGAGGCCTGAGGGTCTTTCTCGATCATTCCTTTTCTGTCCACTGTATCCGCCCATTATCATTCATTGAAATTTGATATCGCCATCCTCCCCGTATGCTATCATTATTATTCTCATTATTAACTATTGACACAGTCTTACATCATTCTTTTCAAATCTCAAACATTCCGACTCCCAGACTTGCGTATTATTCTTTCCGACGGCAATTTTTCGGGTAGGCTATGTTCTGCATATTTGCAGGGATGGCACAATGACATAGCCCGATCGCAATTGCACTTGTGGCGCCACCCTCATCAACCCTTGCAAGTTGGGTGGTGTGGTGGGGGGGGGAATCAGGAGGGACGTTGCTGCGCTCTCGCTCTCGCCCCGAACCATCGGCACAAGAAAGAAAAAAAAAAAAAAAAAAAAAAAAAAAAGAAGGGAAAAAAAGAAAGAGGCAAAAAGGGAAGCTGGATCCCCGACGAGCCTTTGTGAGGGCTGTTGATAGAGGTCACAGAAGTGTTGGTCTTGGTCTGTCAAAAGTTCGACAGATAGAACTTAGAAAGGAGCGCTTCCACAGGTCCACGATACCTGTTCCACAGCGGAAAGTCCGAGCCTAAATTTACAGGAGTGCGGCCCATCAATAATTGCAAATCTTTCAAAGTTACTCCCTTACAAGCGCTGCTTGACTTTGCTGGTGCCTCTCATTCCGATCTACAATTGCATCATTTTTGTGACTTCTGATGGCTTTGATTGTATCGAGACGCTACTGTGCGGAAGGACCGTTGCATGAACACCTCGCGCAACTAATGTCGCTTCCCATCGTACACTTGCACCGGACTTTGACATATTTTACACAGAAGTTATCCCTGTCGCCATCAACCAAAAGTCCAACTTGAACTTCTGAAGTACGGAGTGGGCCTCGAAAGTTTTACGGAGTACGGAGGTGGCGCCTGAATTGGTCCGTGGCAGCGGCGGCTACCAGAAATAAGGAAACCGTCGCACCGTCCTCCAGACTTCAACTCGAGGACAAAGTTCCGGCCATACAGATCTTCACTCCTAGTCTTATTGCCACACCAGAGAAAACGGTTGGTGAATTTAATGAAGCTGGACATCTGGGCTGCAAGACATAAGCATTAAACCTGTTGATATCATTCCCTTGGCCTTCTGTAAAGTCTGGAGACACCTGTTCCTGCGGTTGGGCACACGCAGTCCTCATTCCTGCAGCCAGAGAGACCAATCAGCTTACACTCAAGAGCTCAGCTCTTCTCATTGAACCAAGACTCAAAAAAATACGTCCGAACACTCCAACTTTAAAAAAAAAAAAAGAAAGAAAGAAAGAAAAAGAAAAAAGAAAAGGAAAAGAAAAGAAAGAAAGGAAGGAAGGACACGAACTGGTTGCAGAACAGTTTCATGCAGGCGAACAGCAAGCTCACAGCCTGAGCGGTCGATGTATTCCCCAAAGCAGAACAAAGAGACCAAACTAATGTCATTCACCCACTGTCTACTCTGTAGTCTGTACAGAGTGTAACTAACTTGAGTATTGAAGGACAGAGGATTGTAGAGACTCCATGCAAACAGGCTAAACCGCCAATTGGAGAGATATTCGACCCTCGGATCAGCAACAACCACTCGCAGCTGTTTTCATGTAAAAGCATGGAACCTGTTCTGAAGCAAGTTTCCCACCCGGTTTCGGTTGAAATCTCACCATACCCTGGGGTTCCACGTTTTCTCCTCTCGTTATCCAGTTTTATTATCAGCATTTCAGTTCCTGCCACTCAATCAACAGTTCTCTCCTCATTTGTAGGCATTTCATTTGCTGAAACTGTGTTGTTCTAAGGAGTAGACATTGTGTTCCCCCACTGATACCAATATGTGGCACAAATGACTTGGTATGTGCAACAGTGGTTTGGAGCAGGCAAAATGAAGGCTGTTATGCAAACCAGGTCGTGCCTTGGCAGGCTATTTAATGCCGTGGGTGAGGATGTCTTTTTTTTTTTTAAAAAAAAAAAAAAGAAAAGAAAAGAAGGCGCCTTTACCGGCATCTCATGAGATGGCGAAACGCCTTTGGCTGGCAAGACCTTTTGGTTCTTGGGCCAGCGGTTCAATTACATAGCACGCTTGTCAGCACGAAACCTCCGAAACCAAGCTGAAAGAACTGGGCGTCAAAGCTCGAGATGCCACCTCAGAACAGACATCGATCAGGAGGCGAGGGTTCGCAGCAATTGCCCGTGGTGAGGATCCTGTGGTGTGCTCTGCGTCGCTCGTGCCTCGTTCCATGAATAATCGGTCCCCGGTCCTTGACGGGAAGAAAAAACCACGCAACATTCAAATCTCCCTTTCCCTGCGTCGATCAGCCCTCAAATTGCTGGGACCTGGAATGCTGCACGAAGACGATTCAGGAAACCCGACCGGCATAAAGGTTTCTTGGACAGATGCAGTAGCTTGCAGCCACGCGCACCGTCCTTGCTTGGCTGTGGATTGAACAAAATGCCACCCGTTCGAAAACAAAGCTATCCCAAGCTTGATTGAAAAATTTCCAGCTGCTCCGTGAATCTCACGCACACCATCGAGATCTTCTCCTGCCAACCCTACTAACACCCGAGTTCAAGCCCACGATCGAGTTGCAAACTTCTTACTCATGGTGACCCATCCTGTTTCTAGCTGTTTCCTATCCATACCTTGAAATGGCTACATATTGTGTATGTCCATGATACAGGTTTATTTTTATTTTTTTTTTTCCCTCCTTTCTTTTTCTCCTTCCCTCGCATTCAATTTTGAGATTTGTTCTTGGATCTCTTGTGTTGTGGGGTTGACAAGGCGTGGCCCGTCCCATGTTCGCTGCTCCACCACGCCGTGTCCCCGCAAAAGATTCAAGGGCGGCAGATTATTCATTAGTTCCTCCAAACGGAGTTCCCCGTATTCACCAGTGCCGCATTTTTGGCACCGCTCGACGACATGTGGAGCACAGTCTTGAAGGAAATCACAAGTATGGTGTTTGCATGCCGAGGAACCGAGACGCCTATCCAGACAGGCACTTATTTCTGCATACATATTACATTTGGGGCATCGCCTGCATTGCATTGCATGTCAAAACGCGACCATTCCTTGTCTGGAGCATATGTATACATGGTATATTTGGTACATACATAATGCGTCTCGAACTGCATTTGCTGGTCAGGGCAACGAATCAAGTCGCATGAATTGAAATTCGGGTGCTGGGAGCAGTTCCCGCAACATGCGATTCGATATGGGCACACACTGGGTCTTCCGGATCCATATGGGAGATGCCACCTTTTAACCTCTTTTCTCAAACTTTGACAGCAAGGCCGATACTCCGCTGCGGAAATCCAATAGAAATGGTTTCGAGTTTTGTGGTCCCATTGTCTCCTCAGGGCCTGACCCATACTTGGGCGGCTGGTATCGATACGCCGGAGTTCGCAGCATGACTGGGGCCTGTCGAAGCGTTCGATGCCACGTTTATCGCGAATGGCAGCCGCCGTTTGATCTTAATTTTGATTTGTTTACGTTTTCTATCAAAGCTTCGGCCAGCGGACCCATACTATAGAACACTGAAGGACTTAACATAACTACTCATCCCTCAAGGATAAGAGAAGTCTAGATTTCTTTCACCTTATTCCCTAACGCCTTTCCCTTTCATGCATGCGTTGCTTTATCTCCCAGGTACGGAGTACGTACCACCCATTTTACCCTCGATGTATTTGCATCATAGTACAAAACCCGCAACTCGCGATGTGCACACGGTTCATCGTCTTTGCACGACTTTTTCTCCCAATATCCTTTTAAAACTCTGAATCTCACTACCAGTGCCCCTTGGAGATGTCGTTCGACGATCCTTGTGTGCCGGGAAGCCGAAAATTTTCCACCGAAGACAAATGGTTCTGCACCCCATTTCAGGCCAGTTAAAACGAGAACACGGTTCAGCGGCTGCCTCGAGGGGAATTTTTGACCACCTCACCGCGGTGCAAAAGCGGATGGTATTCATTTATAATCAATGCCTATATTTCCGCATCATAACCAATCCACGCTGTTTGGGTTGTAGCTGACATTTTCCACTCTGTAAATGGGGGAAGTCTCTACACCTTTACTTCGGAACAGTTTTTCTTGCGTCAAAAGCACAAAGTGCGGGGAGTCAGTCTTAAGCTATAGACCCAAAATTAAAGCGAGAGACCGAGTCCCAGAAGTGATTCAGGGCTTTTTTTTTACCTCAGGGAATTTTGTTTCATTCGATCCAAAAATGTTCTCTCAACTATACCTACCTAGCGTATACAAGCCAGATGCGAATCAATTCTCCTTTGGCCAACGCTATCGCAAAAAGCATAACAACAAGAAACATTCAAGATCATTTATACAACTATGAGGACAACATACCACGCCCAACATGGTCAAAAACTCATTTGCATGGAAATTTAATGAAGATGCTTTTATTCGGAGCACGTTATGTTTGGCTGTCACTTCGCCGGCGTCCGTGAAGCCGATTGTCTGAGAAGGAAGGTGTTTGCCTCAGTATTGCTTTCGAGGCTCCATGTGGTTCCACATCGCCAGCAAGAGTGGTGACACGCGAACCCGGTAGTTAAAAGTCCCACCCGCAGAAAAGCCCACACTTTAAAGCGGGCTATCCGGACTCAGGTTACGAAAGTCAGGTTGAATAAGGTAACATGCGGTGCGTGAGTGGGTTGGTAACTGTGTAACCAACCAAAACAGCGTTGCGCGGTAAATCGAGGATGGGAGCAACCGACAGGATAAGCCGTTGCCCAAAATGTTTAGCAAGGGGGATTAGCCACGGGTGCGCAGGCAAAGGCATCTATGATGCTAAAAGGCCACCCTCTCGTTGATATCATTATGGTCGCATATTTTATGCCGCCAAGGGGATGAAATTTTCAAGGGCTTCGGTCAAGAGTTTTTCTTTCTTCGGGACAAACCTGACGCTGTACTTCTTGGGAATGGCAACCAAGCTGGTTGGGTCTGAGTTGCCCTTGATTGGGTCCCACTCAATCCTGCCCTCTGGTTCGATGCGGAAACAGTTCAACATGCGAAGGAACACGAGGTAAAGTTCCCGGTTGGCCAGGAGGGAGCCAGCACACATACGGTAGCCAACCCCGTAGGTGAACATTGGAGCATCGGGTTGTTCCAGCCAACGTTCGGGTCTGAAAATTTCGGGATCTGACCATACTTCAGGATCTACAGTAGTAAAACGTTAGAGAAAGTTGGAAGAAAAAAAATAAAAGAGAAATTTTCCATATTCTTACCCATGTTACAAGCCCAGGCATTGAGGAAGAAGACGCTGCCTTTGGGAATAACTTTTCCTTGGTAGGTAATGTCCTTGATGGATGTTCGTGGCAATGCTAGACGAAGAACAGTGTAATATCTGGGAAACAAAAATTGGTTACTCAAATACCGCTCATAAAACGTAGATATGTCGTAGCTCACCTCAAGCATTCTCTGACAAGCGCCACGATATACTGACAGCTCTGATCATCGGTGGGATCACAGAGCGGCTTATCAATCGAGTGATGTTGCTTAATAGCTGCTGCAGCTTTATCTTGGATGTCAGGTCGTTCAGCAAGCATACCGATACTCCAAGCTACCAGAGTTGTGATAGTATCCAGACCGCCCGACAGCATAGTCAAACTGATGGATGTGAGTTCAACATTGTTGAGTCTAGCCTCCTTATCGAGCATAACATTCGCTTGGATGCAGGGCTTGTGTTCGTTTTTAGCCATTCTCTCCTCCAACCCACGGTTTAGATAGTTCAAATACTTGTCGCGACGGTCGCGCATTTCGGCAGCCTTCTTGGAGCCAACACTGAAAGGATTCAAACGAAGAAGTGGAATATAATCTTGCAAGTTGCCAGTCGTGCTTCGGAAGCGACTTATCTCATCCTCAACATGGGTGATTTCGGCAAAGAGCTCTTCCTCTTGAGAAGCCATGCGGACTCCCCAGTTCAGTGTAAGAGCCAAACTCAGACTGAGTCGTTGGATCATGGGCATAGGGTCCACAGCAACCCGCCCAGCCTTTCCATACTTCATAAGCTCGGCGACGAAATCCTTAGATTCGAGGTCGAGATGGCTGACATAGGTTTGGACGGAGGGTCGATTCAGAGCAGAAGCTGCACCCTTTCTGCGTCGTTTGAGGGACTCACTAAACGGAGATGTTCCAATAGTTGTTCCAGCGGTATTTGATACGACCTAATTTGCGGGTTACGTTATTCATCAGTACATCATTCTTCTTTCGAGATGCAGCCGGATAACAACGAGAAGCGTGGCGCTCACCTTGTGGAACGTATAGAACTCCGGGCGAGAACTCAGAGCCTGTGCATTTTGACCGAATAGGACTTTGGCCGCCGCAGCCGAGTTCACGACGATAACAGGAATGTTGCCGAGTTGAATCTGGTAGACTGGCCCATATTTCTTGGACCACCTGCGGTACTGCTCGGCGGCATTCACTCGAATCTGAGCCAGGTTTCCGATCAGGGGAAAGCCCTTTGGTCCCTTGAAGCCGGGAACACGAGCAGCCGCTCGGACGAATTCATTGGCGATGACATAAATCCCGGGAATCAACAGCGCAAGGACTCCAAGTGCATGAAACGGATGTGCGATGGCCTGCGAATTGAGCGCAGAAATGAACGATGACAACGCCATGTCGGAATTCTCGTCTCGACTGGACGATGATGACGATGGACGACCAGTGTTCTTCCCACGACGGGGCTGTTCATTCTATTATTATAGCCGTGAGCGGCGGCTACATGGGGCTAGAAGAGCGATGGAATTTGTTCCGCCGTGGACGAGCTTCCCCGGCCCAGCTTTCCCCCCGCACTGAGAAGACGGATCGGCTGGGGTACGGAGAAGTTACATAATTCGGTGAGCCGGTCGGCGGTCGGGCTTTCGGGATGAAAACAGTGCAAACCTGGGGATGGTGGAGATCAGATTGCTTGGGGCAAATTCCCGTCCTTCGGAATCATTCCGCGCCGTGCCTTTTCCAATCTGGAGGGAAAATCTACGTTATGCGTCGATGATAACAAATCTGGTATTCGCTTTTTTCCCCATCACGCTTTGAGATGAGTGTGTTCCGGATCTTAATCCCGCAGTCGTCGGATCGCGGCGGGAGTACGAAGTAGGCAGTTCGAAAGGGGCCAAAATTTAATCCGCCTCGTACTTTTCGTACAAGTGTATCTGCACGCGGCTGTACGACAAGACGGGCAATTGATTCCTAGAGGTTCCTTTGTCAACAAAACACTTCGTCTATCGTGATAACCTTTCCAATTTTTTTTTTTTAAAACCCTCCTCCCCGTTCCTCGAGATCGCGCTGGTCCTTCTGGCATATTCAAGGCTACCGTCGGCCACAGATGCTTCAACTCCGCATTGAAAGGAGAACGGCCCCGTACGAAACGCGATACATGCCAGATTGACAAGATACCACAAAACCCATTGGCACAAGTCCGCTTCGCACTGCCTGGCCGGAGGGAAACCAGCGAGGGCTTTCTGGAAATTTAGCGGAAAAAACCACGCCTCTGATTACGTGATCTGTCACATGCATGCGAGCGGCGCGTGCCTGGGATCGGAACGGAATTTTAATGACCCATGCGCGCTAAATCCCTTTTGGGCAATAAGTGTGATGCGGGTTCGGACTCTGATTGGCCGGGAAGCGCTAGCGTTCCTCGCGAGGAATGACGTTTCGCCGGAGAAGGAGTACTTCGGGGTACCTTCTTTCACGGGCTGGATTACGTCGGTGCCCATGTGTCGCGAGGTAACTCTCTTCCCTGGTGACGATCGCTCGCCCAAAGCTTTTCCCCAAGGCCTCTATTTTCGCATCCGACTTTTGCAAGCGGCCGTTTCGTTCATCGTTCTTCTCCTTCTTTGATTCCACTATGGTCCGTTTGTCCTCCTAGCATGTATTAGTTACGCCTTCTCCTCTGCCCTCCTTTGCTCGGTCAATATTGTATTTTTACTTGACCCGACTCAAGATTTTGGTTGGTACATAGCTATCGGCCGTGTTCAATCACATGCGAAACTGTGGCGCTTGAACAACCCCCTCCAAAAAAAAAACCGATCCTTGCCTTGACAGACGCCTTCGTGGAATCTAAAAGCGCAAGATATCTGGTCTCATTTTTGCGGTCTCGTCCTCCTCAGCCATATATGACCCAAGACAATGGCTACCAGACCGCCTAATCGGTTTCTAAAAACTTTCTTTTATACGGTCGCGGCTTTTGCGGGAGCGGGCGGCGTCCTTTATATAACTTACCGGCCGCGGAATATTCCAGGATCCGATCCAGCTGCCGTCCCGCCTCCTCGTTATGGCGAAGGCGGGAAGCTATTGCCCCCGCAATTCCCTTATATAAAGAGCCGAGATGAGCAGATACGTGATTTAAAGAGGAGCTCGGCGGGGAGCCTTCAAGGCACCATTAAAGGAAAGCAACTTTTTGATGGCAAAGGAGGCAATGGAGCCACTGCCGCTCATGATGAGGAGCCCTTCGATCTCCTTGTCATCGGCGCTGGAGCAACCGGAGCTGGCATCGCCCTTGACGCAGCCACTCGCGGTTTGAAAGTCGCCGTTGTGGAACGCGACGATTTCAGTGCTGGAACGAGCAGTAAGAGCACGAAGCTGGTGCACGGGGGCGTCCGCTATTTGGAAAAAGCGGTCTGGGAACTTGACTACAACCAGTACGTTTCCTCGGTCAAATTGTCTTTCCTGAGATTCATCGTCCTAATGGCGTGCCTCCTAAAAGGTATTCACTAGTTAAGGAAGCCCTACGCGAAAGGAAATATTTCCTTCATACAGCCCCTCATCTCTCAACGTGGCTGCCAATCATGGTTCCAGTTCAAAGATGGTGGCAGGTTCCGTATTTTTGGGCAGGGACCAAGTTTTATGACTTCTTGGCAGGCTCCGAAGGAATTGAGAGCTCATATTTTTTGCCTAAGAGTAAAGCACTAGATGCCTTCCCAATGCTGAAAAAGGACAACTTATTCGGGGCGTTGGTTTATTATGGTAAATCCCTGAGATACCTGTTCGCTGCATCGGTGGTGCATTGAGCTAATCCGTGGCAGATGGGGCCCATAATGATTCGCGTATGAACGTGTCCCTGGCTATGACGGCCGCTATATACGGATGTACCGTGGTGAATCATATGGAAGTAACTGGCTTGACTAAAGATGCAAATGGAAGGCTTACTGGGGCGCGTGTGAAGGATCTTATCGCCGAAAGAAACGGTCAAGAAGCCCAGGAATTCACCGTTCGCGCTAAGGGGGTCATAAACGCAACCGGACCTTTTACAGATTCTATTCGAAGGATGGATGATCCTAATATCGCTGAGATTGTAGCGCCGAGTTCTGGCGCTCATGTGATCCTGCCGGGATACTATAGCCCAGCGAAGATGGGACTCATCGACCCGGCCACTTCTGATGGCAGAGTGATTTTCTTCCTACCTTGGCAAGGGAACACGATTGCGGGCACCACGGATAGCCCGACTACGATAACGCCACAGCCGATACCTTCGGAAGATGATATTAATTGGATCCTATCAGAGATCAGAGGATACTTAGCTCCAGATATCAACGTTCGACGAGATGACGTACTTGCTGCTTGGTCTGGCATCCGACCGCTGGTGCGTGATCCTAAGGCTAAGAATACAGAGTCCCTGGTTCGAAGCCATTTGGTTTCCGTATCCAAATCCGGCTTGTTGACTTGTGCTGGTGGAAAATGGACCACATATCGCCAGATGGCAGAGGAAGCTGTGGATGAGGCGATTAAGCAATTTAATCTTCAACCTCGAGCCCTTCGGATAGTTCCTGACATCAGTGGCACTGGCTATCACGTCGACAAAGCTATTCTTGATGGTTCCTGCCAAACACATCAAGTCCGCCTGATAGGCGCTCACGGATACTCAAAAACTTTGTTCATTAACCTTATACAGCACTTTGGGCTGGCCACTGACGTTGCTAAGCACCTTACAGAATCATATGGGGATCGTGCCTGGGAAGTAGCTGCTATGTCATCACCAACGAATATACGTTTCCCTCTATGTGGAGTTCGCATATCTCCACTCTATCCATTTATTGATGGCGAAATTCGATATGCTGTTCGTCGTGAATACGCGCAAACAGCGGTTGATGTTCTCGCCAGGAGGACTAGGTTAGCATTCCTTAATGCTCGAGCTGCCCTTGAAGCCCTCCCTACCGTTGTGGATATAATGGCAGAGGAACTGCACTGGGACGAAAAGCGCAAAGACGTCGAATGGACCGAGACGGTCAAATTCCTTGTTTCCATGGGTCTTCCTAAATCTCGAGCTGGCGCTACAAGAAAGGATGTCGAAAAGGGCAGATTGACTGGCGTCAGCTCCACTCAGACCAAAAGACCTTTGGTGGACTGTATGTTCCTCTTGTTCTTGAAAAGCATCCCAAGTTTCTAACATAAAAATATAGGCACCAATCCAAATGCGATTCAGTTGGACCGAACCCTACCTGAATAACCACGGATTCGTGGCCAATTCTTTGTTTAAGCATCGACCTCTTTCCAGACACGGATCTATTCCTTCTCCTTACAATTTTGATCTTATGACCTTTAATCTCTTCCCTTCTTTCTTTTAGATATTTTATAGAATGCAATTGTGCATCTCTACTACCATGATATTAATGTCAGTATGCAGACATACACATATGGCATGCATTACAGGTTTAGAGGTGGCTGCTTGTAAAGCGAGATAAAAATAAATTAATAGACAAGAACGAACTGCATTTCATGGAGTTAATGATCAATTTTTAGGTTTGAACGTTTATGCTTCTTTGAAAAAGCGAGGGAGGCCTTCAGCAGCCTATTTCTCTGTTCCTTTAGACCTCGATATCTTCACCCAATACCGAGTACAATCATTCATTTAACTCAGGGCTATAGGGGCTCTGTCCCAAATTTAGATCTGTATGTAACTTACATATCCAAAGCTGCATGGCTACAGAAAGTCCATGCTTAACCCTTGGCAGCTGATGCAAGTCACCAACAAATGTCAGCTCCTCCATTGATTAACCACCCAGTCACTGTTAATAGTTATAAATGGTTCATAGCCACTATCCCGATAACTTCGCCCCCTGCAAGCCAGCTGGCGTGCAAGTATCCTTAAAAGTTTTCGGTTTGGATACCAAATTCAGAGTTAAACCTAATCGAACTTCCAACCAGAAAGAGTTCCGGGGTATTCAGATGTTTTAGTATCCTTCCGCGTGGACTGCAAATACAAGTATGCCTTCCTTAACTGGCCAACTAACAGATCTTCGTATGATTTTAAATCCATTTCAAAGAGCGAGCCTCAGCGAGCGGTGCCTCGAGATCTCCGGTGTTGGCGACGCCCCAAGCCTTGACGTAATGCACCACACCTGCAAGAGTATAAGCTATCGATATCTAGTAACTATGGAATTATTTTGACAAGGATTCTTCCCGAAATAACGAGGAGCCTCTGCATAATTAGTTTGATATATTATATTGAACAAGGCCCCTACATCCTGAGTGTTGTTGGTAAGTGATTCGAGCCTCAACGTGGGGGTTTTGATGATAGTTCTTAGCAAAAAGTTTGCGGAAGAGAAATTCAACTACGGAGTACGGAGGTGTGGAACAAAAGTTCCCGGAAACTCTATTTTGTTACAACGTATTGCAGTTACCTGCTGCCCCACCAAAATTTGGTGGGGTAGCAGGTATCTCCTATTATTCAACAAACAGCCTGGCTCCCACCTTTTTCCAAATCTCTCCAAATTCAAAACATCAAATCTGCCCACCATGCCTTCCAGAGAAATCTCTCTCCATGATAAGCTTGTTATATAAATTCAAGCTCTTGCTTTGATCTCTTATGGAATTTCTATCTTAGATATTTCTTATACTCTCCAGATTCCTTCTTCTACTCTCTATAACATTCAAAAGCAAGCAAAAGACTGTAACTTTGATCCCAAGAATAATTCTCAAATTTCTCTCAGTTATGTGGATGTGAGGATCGTACGTGTGGATCAGTGTGACAATGAATCTCTAGGAGGAATATACATGGGAAAAAGAGTACGCGAGGTAAAAGATCTGTATTCTGGCAACTATGTGCAACTTGTAAACAAGATTGTCACTGGCTCTCAGAAAGAGATTCACACAGTAACAATCTTTTATGTGTGCTTGCAAGCATGTGACTTAGTGTCTCACAAGAACACATACAACTCCCAGCAGCTTGCAAGCTGAGGTCTCTGGCTCTTACAGATACTGTTTGTCTGTGTAAGAGATTTGTGGTGAATTCTTACAGATTCCTCTCTCTTGTAAGTCTTGATCCCTTAAAGCAGCTGTCTCATTAAAAATCTTCATAAGTAAAAAAACAAAAAATCTCTTGAGAAAAATAAAAATTTCCTCATAAGAAAAAGAGTACAGTCTCATTAGAGATGTGATATCAACACAACTCTAATAACACAACAGAACCCAATAACACAACAATATGTAGAGAGTCTCTATTATTCTTGCTAGCTCTGTGTCACTATTAGATAATAAACACTAGCTTAAGAGAGAGCTTTCTCTTGCTTTCTCTTTCTCTTTTTTTCTTCTCTTCCTTCTCTAGTCTATATTATCTTTACAAAGGTAAGTGAACCCTTCAAGCACTACTTCACATGGGAGGCAGGCTTGTGGAAGATCTCTAATGTTCTGGAAGAAAAATAGCTTCACTTCAACATTCTGCATGATTGGCTGAAAGGCCACAAGCTGGTGAGTTCACCCCTGGTTGTGTCTTTGCTTTGTGTAGCCATTTGGTTTTGTCTTTGTGTGGGGTTTGGTTCACAGAGAGACTGATGCTTGCTAGCAGTTGCTGCCAGTGTGCAGTCCTCTCCCCCCCCCACACAGGGGCATAAGCTTTGTCTGCCCGCAAAAGGGCATGGTGTCGCGAGCCTATCCAAAGGCCTGTGCTTATTGCTGGTTTGGATAATCTAAATCAGTTGGCTGTCTGCGCCCAGCTCTGTGAGGGTATTCTCATAACTAGAGCTGGGGCCTGGCTGTCACCAGGACAGAAGTGCTCTGTCTGCAAGAGAGCATAGCAGAGCTATAGCAATATAGTCTTTGCAGAGTGTATCTTCACAGGCTTGGATCAAAAATGTAATAACTGTCTATACCATAAGCACCTTGCTTGCTCTTTCCAGCAGTGAGGTTATGAATAGTTGTTACAGATCTTTACAGAAGGAGCTGGAGACTCTAATTATATAGTCTTAGTTTAGTTTTTCTTCTTTTGTTTTGAAATCAATTAAATTCAGTTCAGTTTGACTATGTCTTTTCTCTCTCTAACTCATTTTCTAGTTTCACTATCTCTATCCATCTCTTTTACAAACCAGGCTTGTCTGGGTTTCTACTATGGAATTGTTGAAGTAGCTTTCTCAGTGGATGGATATTGCTTGTGGAAACCCATGTCTTGTTCTTCTCATCATCATATTCTTCTCAATGTACTCTGTACCACAGCTTGCAATTCTCTCTCTTTAAGTTAATTATCTTACAGATCTGGTATTTCTTTTCATTCTCATCTGTCTTACAAACTTTATAATAAGATAAGCTATTAATTTCTTTGTGGGTCTTGTGTTTGCAGAGCAGAGATACATAAAAGATATTATAAGTTTACCAATCTGAAGATAGTTCTAGTCTGTAGACTTATAAGTCTATCTTCTCCACAATTCTACAAGATCCATGCCTTAATAAATCCAGTTTTTTGTTAGGCTGTGCAGTCTTGATATTGTGAAGATTAAGCCATATCTTGTCTTTTATCTGAAAGATCTTCACAGTATGCTTCTGATTGTAGTACTTCTTCTGATAGACTTGTGTCTTTATAAGTGATTTCTTAATCTCTTTACAGAGCAATCTCATTGTCTCTGCCTGATCTCTTGAATTCTTGCATATATAGTCATACTCATCAGAGTCCAAGAATTCCATTCATGAATTCAGCTCATATATCAGCTGGAAAGGTGATTTCTGTGTGGAAGTCTGTTGTGAGTTATTATATGTGAACTCAGTTATTGAGAACCATATTATCTAGTTATTCTGATTATAATTAATATAGCTTTGCAGGTACTGCTTCAGCACACTATTCAGTCTCTCAGTCTGATTATCAGTTTATAGGTGAAATACTGTGCTTATTGCTCTTGCAATCTTCAAGATATAAGTCAAATCACCTCAAAATTCACTCACAAACAGAGATTCTCAATCTGTTACTATACTTGCAGATAATCTGTGCAATCTCACTATCTTATAAATAAAAAGATGGGCCAATTTCTCTGATGTCAGCTTTTTTGTTGTAGAGATAAAGTGAGCTATCTTTGTGAACCAGTCCACTACAATCAGAATACAGTCAAACTGCATCTTCTCAAAATTCAGGCTTACAGAAAGATCTGTAATAACATTCATGCTAATGAATTTTCAAGAGTAATTTAAAATTAATAAGAGTGATAGTTCTTCTTAGAGCTTTCTGTAAACTTTTCTTGAGCTCTAACAGATCTTACAGACTTTGCAACACTTCTTCACCAGTTCTCTTATTCTTGATCAAAAGTATTTGTAAGCTATAAGCTTGTATATTCTTGCTGTAGCAAAATGTTCTGTAAGAGATAGATCATAATAATATCTAATCAGCTCTATTTGCAGAGCCTCATTCTGAGAGATGTACATGTAACTATTTCTATAGAGAATACTCTTCTCCTCTTTCCACATTGTGTTACAAACATAGACCTAGACCAACCAAGCATCAGACAATGTTGGATGTTCAGGGGTATTCATGTGACCCCAACACTGAATGTATAAGGATCACACAATTCACATGGATCATGGGAACCCCAGCATTCAGTCTCCAAGTGAGAGAACCCCTACATTTTACACACAACTCTCTCCCATCAGTTGCAGGCATCATACCTACTTAGCTCTTTTGTATCCCTAATCCTGGGAAAACCTACATGACCTACAACCAGTTCACCTAACACATTGTGAATTTCTTTGTGCCTGTCTTAATATCTTCATGGACCTCAGCTGTATAGTTATCACTTTGCAGTAGATTTGGCAGTAATGCCAACAGGTTAGAGCTGCTCTTTTCATAAGAATTCTTCTTACAGATCAGATCTTTAATCTTCTGAATCTGCATTGCAATCTTCTTTACTTTACATGTGCCTCTCAAGATAATCTTCACAAGTAGTTTCTTAATCTCAATCTAAAACTTTACAGAGATAAGTTGTGCATTCTTATCTTCTTTCTTCTCTCTCTGATTAAGAGAAACTTAGACTATGTTAGGGGAACCAGTTGTAGGTCACATAGGTTTTCCCAGGATTAGGGATATGAAAGAGCTAAGTAGGTACAATGCCTGCAACTGATGGGAGAGAGTCATGTGTAAAATGTAGGGGTCCCCTCACTCAGAGACTGAATGCTGGGGTTCCCATGATCCATGTGAATCATGTGATCCTTATATGTTCAGTGTTGGGGTCACATGAATACCCCTGAACATCTGATGTTGTCCAATGCTTGGTTGGTCTAGGTCTATGTTTGTAACACTATCCCCCCCCCCAGAGGCCTTGGACTCCAAGGCATAGGGCCACCAAAGTGGTTTTTTGTATGTTGTCATAGCTCCCCTATCATTGGTGGAGCATCATAGGTTCTTGGATGTGTAAGCTTCTGCATTACTCACTGCTTGTC